GTGGTGTAGAATTAATAAGACAGTGGGGCAACACTTTTCATCTCTTTTCGTATCAAATCTCATAATTTTTTACAAAAGCTACAAAGACAATGATCGTTGCATACTAGTAATATGTTTTTTTCTTCTTTTGTACTTTTTGCAAAAAACTAATGGTAAAATACTAAATTTCTTTGCTACTGAAAAGTTATCGTTCTATCTCCAGCAATTTTCTACTCGTTAGAGTTCTTTTAATCACGAATTGAGTTATCATGTACAATACTAAATTTCATTTCAATATTCTCTAGTTGCCCTTATTATTGTTATCACTACTATCAAGAGCTCGGCAAGACAAGACGACAAAACCGCAACATCTAACGGACTCCTTCAAGCCCTACAGGTACGATAACGAAACACGCGCCCGGCGTACATCCATTATGCACTTCGGCCCATTAGCGAGCGGAAACTACGCGTAGATAACATCTTGCGACTCCTTTAGTGCCGCCTTTTTAATTTAGAACGATACCGTCATTCCTGTATCTTACTAAGCTTATGGTGAAGCTTCACACCAAAAATTGATGTCTTTAAACTCTTTTCTTTTCTTCGATGTATTTGGTACCATAGCTGCAGGGTTCTAGCCAGCTCAAATCTTTTTTTAATCAGCCCAAGTTCTAACCAGACCGGAGGGAGAGTGTTCGCAATCTAGAGGGGTCCAGGGGAAAATTTTGTATTTTCAAGCCTTTAAAAAACGCAATTCCCCACATTTTGAGAGGCAAATCATGTGGTTGGTGGTGGTCCTTTGGATATTTTTCCCACAAATTTTGTCAATTTTGTCTGTCACGGCTTGGTTTAAATTTTTTTCTGTCACACGCCGCAAAGTTCCTGCAAATGACATAAAAACGGGTCCTGTCTAGAGCCCTGCGTACTTGTGTGGATAACAATCAAGGATTTTTTGGACCACGTTTGGGCTGATATCTCCTTGTAGTTGTACGCAGTTGGTGAGAAAGAGAGCGGGAAATGATTTCTGTCAGGAAGTCAGTACTCCAGCCAGTATTGACCTTTATGTCTGAGCAAAATCAATGTCTCTCATTTAACATTCATAGACAGGGAGGTGAGAATGGGTACTATGTTACATGTGGTACTGTACACAATTGCACAGTTATCAAATGCTGGAATACATCAAATCTAACAGCCTCTTGCTTTGACTTTTTCCTGTATGTATATCATTATGACCAGGAAAGCTGATCTCAAAGTCCAGGAATTGTTTGTCTATTTTGACTTCCGATGGCAAGTTAGTGCAATTCGTGATAAAAAGTTTGTGGTCTGGGAAAAATCTGTTCGCATAATTTTATGTTCACTGTGGCTGCAGGTGCAGAAAAAAGGAAAACGGTGAATAATTTGCTCACGGTAATAATAAGTTCAGAGTACAGAAGTGACCGTGAAAACCACAATCATATATAAAAGTACCACGAAAAAATCAAGAATTACAGTAGTGCATTCAACCTGCAAAACATAGAATATAACACAAATAACAATGCATTTCTTTTACAGACTTTGACTGCATATAATCTGATTGAAGGCATGTTTCAAAGAATCAAACTCTAGTTTTGTCAGAGCTGTTTGTTTCTCCAAAAGGGGGGAGGGGGGCTGCACCTGTTTTATTCAAATCAATGAGCTTCTCTATTCCTCCTGACACTTTTAATAAACCCCAGGTTTCATTTTCACTCACTACTAGCTGTTTATGGCCAGAGTGGCATGTACCCCTATAGTGTAACCATTTCCTCTGACAATGTGCCAAAAGCAGTGCTCTAATCTCTTCCAAAAGTTCCACCAATATCTCAAAAGGCACAGCAACCCTTTATGTAGAAAGGGCCATCAACCTATACCTTGTTTACGAGGTATTATTTAAAAGGAATGCCGACTTGACACAATTTATCTTCAGTTGTAAAACTAGAGCATGCAGCTGCAAGATTCGAACTCCTGTTTTCAAGGACGCTACATCTGTTTTCCTTTGTCTAATCCGCATCAAAAGCAGCAAATTCCTCGCAAAAACGCCAGCCTGGATAAACGCAGGGGCGACAGTAACCATAGAAACTGTACATTTGCATGTCAGGAAATTATGCCACATGTTAGAATTGTAGATGAACCAATGGGCGAAGCAGGTTTATCAGATCACTTTATCAGAAGTGAGGAGAGAGATGCTTCACAACAGCCCCATCTGCCAAGTAGAGACCCCGTGAATCGTGAATCGGCGAGAGAACTGAAAGAAGTAAATTCTACGCTGCAGGCAACGATGTCAAAGAAAAGCCACAATAAGATTCAACTTCCAGTCACAAAAACAGCATAAAGATATATCAAAGCACTGTACAAAAGGAAGCAAGACTATACATTGGTAACAGTTCCTTTGACTTACTAGTACTTGTGACGGAGCAAAGATTATACAAAAAAATTGTTTCCACACTGATTTTATTTGCTTTAGTGCACCTGCAGAAAGAATTACCTAACAAAGGGGTCCAATTTAAAGCCCTATTGTAAACACAGCCATAAAGTTTAACAATAGGATATGCTGTGATGTGATTGGTTGATCTATTAATTCAATCAAAACTCAAAATGGCAACATTTAGAAAAAATACAACAAACATACCATTACTATAGCAAGTTTTCATTCCTTCAATAATTATGGTCTGTGAATCTGCATACTAGTAGTCAAAACAAGTCCATGTTACTGCCTACATATGTACTGTATAGCTCTTCAAAATAGTACAATTGTGTCTTTCTCAAAATGTTTGTCGAAAGAACCCCCCCTAAAACTTCCTGTATTTTGTTATCTTTTCCTTAGAAGTTCCTGTCTTTCTAAGTCTCAATTCTTCCAACCAACTGCTAAACAATAACAACAAAACAGTCTTCACAAACGTAACAAAACAGTCTATTATGATAAATTGTATTCACCATATTCAAAAATCAAAGACAGTTTAGTCTGCTTGGGGCAACCCAAAACAAAGAAAGGCTCCAAAACATTCGGAAAATGCAAAGATTGGGATCTTTAGAATGTGTTTCTTTAGTATTTACAGGGACAGTGGCAACAAGAATGTCAATCACTACAAGTAAGCAAACCAACACTAAACAGAACAACATCAATACAGAACAAAAAGTAGTGGTATCCACAATTCCTTTTCTTCTGATTGGGAAAAATTTAAAGCTTACCAACATCCAAAATATAGTACTCAACTACTCATATACCTTACCTCATATACCTGTAAAGTGACTGTATAGCATTGTTTTTCTAATAGACTATGGGGAATTTTGTTCCAATACATGCTGTGTCAATTGTTGACACATTTACCAAAGCTGATACCTTAACAGACAGACTACTTCTAGTAAGTTAGACATTTTGCATTCAAAGAAGTACGAAGCTGATAATTTTCTGATACCGGTAGACACAATAATAACTAGGTAGTACACTCAAATTTACACCAAGATTTTCTATGTTGTTCTTCCGACCGTTGTCAGAGAGAAGTGGACTCGGTCAATCGTTCAATGTCCCCGTGTTTGTTGGTAGAAGCCATTTGTGCCTTTCAGCGCGTGTTTGTCCACTTTTTGCCGATAAAACCCCCAGTATTTACTCTTCTTTTAATGCAGTCCCCCTACCAAGTTTGACTTGGCTGACCCCCAACGACGTACGATGGCAACACATGTGATTTCAACAAACAAAAACAGGAATTTTCAACCCCAAAATATCAAACTTCTTTTCATCAGGTAAACTATATTACAGGGGGAGCAATAAGACCTTGGGTTGTTTTCGGTGTTTCAGGTATTTATGTTTGCTCCATGGTTTTATGGTTATTTGTTTTTGTGAACAGCCAAACATACCAACGCTTTACGGTCAACAAACGTTGGGGATATTTAGCAGTCTTTCAAGCTCCATTCACACATGTATACGGATACCTCTCTATACTATAGTATAGGTCTTGTTATGTAATATAAGCGACAATCATGATTAGGAAAAAGTGTGGTTTGTCTTTTAAAAATAAAAATGGCATGATTTCTTTGAACTCTGAAATCAGCTGTACAATTTCCTTAATCCAACAATCGGGCTTATTATACGTTACATCTGCTTTTATACAAAAAAAGTTCTTCAAACTGAACGCAAGGAAAAGATTTGGCTGAACTACAACCAGGCATGAAAAAAAGTCCTAACACTGACATAGCAAGCTTTTAACAAAAATCCCTTCTAAAACTCAGCTTACGGTTTTTACCTAATTTGGCCCAAACTGAGCAGATTTGTGTTGAAGCCCTCATTCTTGTAGAATGACTACTAGTAGTACTTCTTTAGTGTTTCAGAACTTGGGGACCGAAATTACAGAAAAGAAGGGAATTTTCTCAAATTATTTCAGTCCAGGATTGAAAAAATGGGGTAGATTCTAACGTTTCAAGCAAGGGAATCGTGCTGGAAAGTAAACTATTTTCCACCACTTTTGAGGATTCAAAAAAGTTCTATTCGCGTCTCTGTATTGTCAAGGAATCTACAATAACCATTCAAGCTGGTTTCTGATGAAAGAAACTGAGAAAAAATCGTTACAAGGCAAGAAATTCAAGGGAAAAATCGCAGCAGTTGGTCTTGATCTTACTTACCATAATCACTGCTTTGAACAAAAACACAGGAACAGAAGAACGAAGGGGCCAAAATCACGCCTCAAAACTACAAACAAACGCGATCTACACTTCTGGATATTTCTAGTAAAACTAACAACAAAGTGAAACCTATAGAATTATCACTTTTCAGCCCAAAACGATCTCCAGAAGCGCCGATATTTCCAGGCCTAGCTGAGAAATCCCCCCGTGTCTTGTTACACTGTGTAGATTTCATAAACAGCAACATGTAGAGAAATGGGCCGCTTTTCGACGCGATGGGCGATCTAGTATCAGGCGTATCTTGATACACAGACGGCTTACACGTACGTCTACGTAATCCTTGCTACGCAGGGAGGTTATTTGGGTTTCTAAAAAGACGGGAAGGCACTCACCTAGCGCTGAGACGGCCAGGAGTACACAGACCGCGGTTGAGAAAGTCCACCGCACGCCCTCCCCACGCCGCGGACTCGCCATACTTGCGGTAGAGTCGGACGCACTGCTGCCAACTTTTCCTACAATCTTTTAGCTTCCCCCGACGAAAATCCCAGCAAACTACCTACGCATCCACGCCGTCGGGTGTTGGGGCGACGTCCAGGAGCTCAGATCTGCTTTATGTTGGAGGAAAATGGGAGAAAATCCAGGTTTTGGAGAGTTTCCCTTCCATGATACCGACTGTGATGACTCAACCGTCCGAACAAACTCACTCGGGGGTCAACAAAAGCCGCAATTATGGTAATTAGCTCGCCAAATATGGGCATCAGGCCCTTTTGCGGGGAGAACCAAACCACTATGTTATAGGGGTGTTTTGATACATTTTTGGCAAGAAGTTTTTTTTTTTTTTCGTACACAGGCATTGTTAGGAATCCGACTTGATTCGTTTTGGAGTGCTTTAAATGAATAGAATCCAGCGTTTAGCTGAACCTATGACATCTATAAAATGTGCAACCTATTCAAAAGAAAACATCCTGATACCCTAACATCATGATATAAAAAAAATATATAAGATGACAAAGAAACGGGGAACAAAGAGACTAAAATATGATCGTGAGAAATTCATACAAAAGTCAGCTGCAACAAAAAAATCACAGATTACCCCCTGTGCCACTTGTATAATGGAATCTCCCCTGGGAGTTGTATTAATATGCCCTTGACAATGGTGTCGCCTAGATTTAGCGCTATTACCACCCTTATCATCCTCAGCCATAATGGCCATAGACATGAATCATTAAGCCTCAGATGTTGGTCATTCACAAAATATGAACGATTTTGACACAAAACAGACACCTGATATTAAATTTCATACCCGTCTCTGTCAGAGTGCCTGGATATTAGGTCATGCATGCGGTTTTCTATGTTGAATCAATTTTACAGACTAGTATATCTACCTTTTATGATTTGATATAACAATGCAGTGTGGCAATAGTCGTGATCACGTATTGTGGTGCTTGACTGTGGAAAATTTATCCCAACCATTTGAATACAATTCAAAACAGCATTTATTTCGCCATGCAACAAAAAAGAAGATCGAAAATGAAGAGAAAATCGACAGAGTCGTTTTGTTTTCAACATATTGGACTGGAAATTGTCATTTATTGATATATCATGAAATAACAATACATTTTACCACCAATTCGCTGTGCTTGTCGGCGAAATGCACAGACATGACCTCGGAGGTTTGCTATTTATTTAGCGCTCCAAAAGTGTGGAGCAATTCTTCCCCATGGGTAGCAAAATTTCCGACGAACCGAATAATATCTCTCCGTTACGCTGGATTTGTGGTAATAGAAAGCAATAGACTTGGGCGTGCTCCAATTTTCCAGGGCTATAAGAAGGTATTTCCACAGCATACGAAACTCGGAGCAGAACAAAAACCGGAGATTTTAGACCTCCGGAAAGTGCTTTGGGTTCTCATGAAAATGTTGGAGTTATTTGTTTGGGTCACTGGGTCACCTTTAATTATTTTTTTGCCATAACCCATTTGTAAATCAATTGTCAAAACCATCATCCCTCTCTCTGACAACCGTTGCCACACTGGAATCCAAACATACAAACCCGATATAAAACTAGTGCCACCCAAAAAAATATTTCCGTCCCAGAAGTAGCTACAGTGGGTTCTGGGGTCCAACATTAATACTCCAAACTCAAACGTCGAATGCAGGGCGCCGTATACGGGTCCAAGATACATCTATGCCCTTCTTACACGCCGCCGCACCGCGGAACCTGCAGCTTAAAACCATAGTCTGTTCATTCATCTTTACCCAAAGGATAAACCTTGCTGTCATCTAAAATTAATACACAAATTCTCACTATAACACAGATGTATTCTTAAAAGCTAAAGCTATTATGGAAATGCCTTTGTTTTGACTCATATCACTGAACCAGGGCTGAGCAAAGTTTCGAATTACAATGTAGCTTGATGTTGAGATGAAAAAAAATGTGTTGCCCTAGCTCCAGAACTTTGACATTCGAAGCTCCGACGTCTCATCAAAGACCTTCAATGTTTCATTCTACCTTCGTTGGCTATCTGATTCAATCCAATTCATTTTACGACGGTAGCTTCACATAACGAGGTCCGCACGGCATCCGGAAATTCTCTACGACCGAAATCCTTTCGCCAATACTCGTAAAAACACAGTTATGCCTACAATAAACGTAACGGGGTCAGAAAGGACAGAAAGCGTCGTCCATTTTGTTGTCCCTGTGGCGACTTCCCGCGTTAAAAAGGCTTGTCATTTTTATCTTAGCCATGAGCATCAATTATGGGCTAACTCTTGAACAACGCTATCAGACCTTGGGCGAAATTGGCTATGAGATATGGCCATATCTCCCAATCCTAGCTCTGTCCTAGCCTTCAAAGCTTTCCTCACGTAAATTATGCAGTAACTGTCCATATTTCTATGAATTATCTGCGAACAGGGGGGAGAATTCGCCGAATTATGGAAGTTTCGTACATCTTTTAAATCTTGTTAGGATCTCTAGTTGGGTTGGCTGATCGAATTAATATGTCATATCGCTAAATTTTCCCTCAATCGCGTCATCGGAATGGAGAAAAATGAATCGCACGGAATTATCGTCTGCAGAGCTCGAGATTTTGGCGCCAAAATGTAATTAACATAAGCCTTTGGGGATTTATCACACAGAAGGGTTTCCACGCTATTACACTTGCTATGTACACTTCTTTTATTTATTTACACATTTTACGTAAAATTGTGTACACTTTGTATCAAAGATATCATATCTACCGGAATCATTATTTCAAAAAGCATATGGGAAAGAAACATCAGAGGATGTAATATATTACTTTGTGTGTATATACTATATGAAGTTGTGTTATTAAAAATCAAATTTCTCAGTGTGACATCGACTTTATAAGCGATCTTGGTATGGTTCATTCAAGGTAAATGTTTAACATATTCTTCCTGTTAGCTTTAATATATTCACCAATATTAGCTGCTACATACAAACACATTAATCATAACATTTCAAAAGTTAGAAATTACATATCAGTTACCGAGCAGGGGTGTTTTTAATATCACCAAACGTCTGTCTCTGACAGTTGACATGCTGTTTTAATAGCTTTTATTATCATATACTTCTTTTGCTCATCATAAATAGTTACTTTATATTCAGTTAAGCTGCGATCACATTCATCCTGGGTGAGGAAATCTGTCTGATATTGATATTTACTGATATTTAGTACATTATTTTCGTCATCATTTCATACTTGAAGCGTTTGAAATACTAGTAGCCTCAGAAGCTACGTGAAGCTTTTGAGGTGATCTCTTTATTTTGGGGTACCGCAACTAAATGTATAGCTAGAACAAGCCTAGGATACGAAACAAGCCCGTTTTCCGTCAGTAACATCGCATTTTTACCTCCCAGATATCAGTATGCTATGGGGTAGGGTTGATTCAACGTACTACATTTAAAAAATTCAGTTTTGACTCCGTGAAATTGGATGTCTTTATTTGTCGTGAGATTTTCAACCAGGCTTTCACAGACCCAACCGCCGACAAGACTCTACGGTCGCACGACAACTTCACAACACAGCTGAATTTTGCACCACGATGTCCCCACGAACACACTTAATTTAGCTGCCCCTAATGAACCAAACAAGCCAACCGCAAAATTTAATAAGCTCTAATTTCTTATTAGTCTCTTTTATCGCGTAGAAAAAAATCAATTTGTCCATATCAACCATCAACCATCAACCATCGTCTTTGGACAGAAAGAAACAGCCATTTATTTCAATAAAGACGATTCGGATGTCTAAAATGTCAAAATTGTATTGTTAGTAAATCACTAGTAAATTATTACGTACAAATAATATTCCTATTATTTCACTATTCAGAATGCATCTGTCTCTTTAGACCAATTATTCTCATTAATGAAATTTGTTTGGCATAGCTTTCAAATTAAAGTACAAGTTCACGCCGGGACACATCATTGGATAGTAAATATTAGATATATCAACTGAAAAAAGAAACTGTCAAAATTCCGTTTGTTTCTTACTTGTTATATTACTGATAATCAATTCCCGTTGGAGTATTCTGAGCCATAAAACTATAATAAGATAACAATGATAATGATATTTATTTCATATTTCTTCCCATCTGTAGGAAAGAAGAGTTCTTCTAACTACGTGTACTTTTGGAGAAGTTGAAATGCTGGCAAGAGAAAGGATACCACATCACAAGATGGCAACAGGAGCTCAGGTTTTGAAATTGTGAAAAAGCGATGGCTGTCAATATTGTTTTTCGAAGGATTCAAGTTTGTAACTTGTACTCGGCAGTTGTCAGAGAGGGAGTCGGAGAGTTTTTTTTTTTCGTTCTCCTTACTGAATCTTTTCAAACATATTCTAACATACAGGAATTATAATAATGTATTTCAGATTCATCTACGCCTCTATAAAAGGATATGTATTTATATAGGGATCCAACTGTTAATATATAATTCAAATAAAAGATGATCCTATAGCTAATTCCAGTCAAAATCTCCTTATAAATGTAAATTAATATCAAGACAAATCATATATAGTGAAACTATTTGTAAAACTATTTGCTAACTAGTTAAGTAGTAATATTGTACTGTTGACTTATACCGATTGAAACCAACGTTAAACTCAGTTGTGGTCAAAGACAATGCAATAAGATGTACACAACTTAAACTCCTTTGATGTTTCCTTTACTGTATTATTCATCAACTCATAATGAAGCAGGGAAACGGATTATAGAATACTTATGTGAAAGGGGTTAAGGTTATTTGTGTCAACAACGGGAAGTAAATTGTATATCGATCTCAATCTCTCAATTGTTACAGTGTTTGATGTTAGTGTGACATGTAGCAGTCCCTTAAGTATGCACTGTCATGGGGAAGATTTAAATTACTGTCAGAATAGATGGAAGGAGGTGACATGTGAAAATGATCTCAACCAGTTTAGTTCAATGAACTCAAACAGTTGAGTTACTCTTCCATTGTTGGTGACAAAGAAGACGGACTCTTAAAGACGGACTCTTTAAGTTTTTCATAAAGACGGGCTCTATATGCAGTATTTACAGGTTCATTGTATCGAGAAAATTCTCCTAGCTATTTTCGACAAGCACAATGAACAGTGAATCAATGCTTAACGTCCCTATCAAATTTGAATTGTGACATTTTCAGGTAGTGTGCATGCCATGTAAGCGTCAACAGAGCAAAGATTCAAACTCCCAACCCCTTGGTCCAGAGGCAGAGTTACTATCCACTGGACTATTGACGCTAAGTCATGTATTTCTAAATGTACGCAGTTTTCACGAATAGTTCTTTCCAACATTTGCTGAAAAATGCATTCAAATTACGTATCTTGAATGAACATTTACTAGTTTGTGTCTATAATCAATTCCCTATCAACTACTCAACATAGTAGCGATCAGAGGAATGATCCATGGCTAGAATCCATTTGATACCAGATTATTGAAGACTTGAAAATGTCCTGAAATATATGCGAGCCATCAACATGTGAGTTCGATTATTCCATAAAACATGTTTGACCCAGAAATCACGGTCCCGATCCTCATCAAGCCAGCAAATCCTCGGAAGAAATCAGGTGAGATGGAAAAACAGATTGTTACGGGGAAGCGCCGGTGATCTATCAAGTCCTGTATGTCCCAGCTTATAAGCTGTGGGAGTTTCCTGCTGTTAGTGGGACATTCAATAACGGTGAAGCAGTCATCAGCAACCGAGGTGCCATGCTTTGAAGAATGTTTAGCCTGTACCAGGCTTCGGGAGGCGGCTGAAAAAGTAGAAATCGGCCAAATAGAGAGATAGCATGCCGGGGGAGTTTGTCAGCTGGAGAGAACAGTGTGGTGCTATATCTCTGTTTGGCCGATTTTTACTATTTCCAGCCGCCTCCCGAAGCCTGGTAGAGGCTAAAGCATGACGCCTTTTTTTTTACTTTTGTGTACGGAAGTATTGCTTTGGGTGGCTGAGCTGGGTGGCTGCTTGACCGGGCAGAGAAGGTTGGCAGTACGTGGATGGGATAAGATTGACAGGCAGAATGACAGGAGGACAGACACTGGAAACGGGGTGAACGTACAGGTCTCAGAATCTGGCCAGTAGCCAGTAGGACTATTAGTGGTCAACATGGGGGGAATTCAGGAAGCATCAGATCGCACATATCATAAACACATCGATGACTCAGAAACTTACATTAGCCATACTCCATTATACTTCCTCACTAGTATTTAGCCATACTCCACTATACTACTAGTACCTCACGAATAAACAAAATTAACAATTCTAACGACATTTTCATAAGGTTTCACCACTAAATGTAGTTAGCTCGTGTTCGTCTTCGTTGATTGCACTTAAAGAATGCAAATATAATTCCAATATTCAACATCAATCTAACCTGTCTATGTCGGCGCCGTGTTTATGATGTATCGTTAGTAATTAGTAACTTTACCTAATTATCAAATTGTCAGCTAGATTAGGCAGAACCAAACTATTATGACTGATTGCAAATTGATGTATTTCTTTAAGTGCAAAGCAACGTCTCAAAATAAACATTGTCTTCGAGGTAAAAGAATTGAGCTTTTCGAATGAAGTTATAGCCTATTTACACCGTTCCATTCTCTTCTGGGACCCCAGATCTTTGACGTGACCCTCTTGTTCCCCCTTAATTCGGTGCAGGAACTGGTAGATTAAAAGAGAAATTGCTTTTAATCCCGGGTTAGTCATGTGTGAGTCAGGTGTTATCAGTGGAGAATCTACAGCCGTTATGTCACCTGTACCAGATGACACATGCAGCACCTGGATTCTGTCATGTCCTGATGTCCTGTCATCACATGTGGCAGCCACCCTGCCCCCCCCTCCTGGTACAGCAATAGACCGATCCTGACTGTCCAGCACAATTAGCGTGTGGACCAATGAGAGAATCCCTGCTACCAGTGTGATCATATCCCACCGCTGCCACCAATGTAACGTTGTAGATTGTTGGATCCATGTTGTAGATTCAGCCGTTGGAACCACAATCGTTTGCCTTGTTTCTCAACAAGAAAGTTAGTTTTTGAGAATAAGCCAGAATTTGATTGCAAAATCCATAACCTTACCTCAAATACCCTCTGTCGACGTGTCTTTGGACTTTTGGTAGTTAACGACAATAACCGGAATATTGTGACGCTGGTTCCATGTAATTAGTCATTAAAGATCAATTTTATTGCAGTTTATATGTAGCTGTCGGTTATGTGCATCGTAAATCATCTCAACTTATAAAATGTACAAACCGATTTTCAGGTTAATTCGTCTCATAATTTGTCCAGGCGCCTATGACTAATAAATTCGTGTAGAACTCGTCTTTCTGTCACCTCAGATTGCCTGATTATCCCCAAAAGCGCGCGTAAAATTTCGTGACGTCATTGGCGTCGTTTACGCAGTCAAACGACATAACACACAGGATATGACGTCACACCAAACGGCCGTTAACAGTTCAAATGGCGTCAGAAAATTACATGTTCTTTTAACTATGCTGCTTTTACATTCGATTTGGGAGATTGGGGCTGACCTTGGTGCTGAAATAGCTGTCATTCTGCCTTTAAAGATTTCAAAACGACTGTTTCTTTGTTTTCTCAACGTTTGTGACACTGTTATCTAACCAGGGTGCGTTTGGCTACGTCCCTGCTTTAAGAGAAAACTAGAAATAACGTTATAACCAAATACATAAACCTTTCATTTTGTCATGGACAAGGGCTAAGAAGGGCTAAGAAAGCCACCTAGCGGACAGAGACACACTGCAGCCCAAAGAGTCTAAAATGGCGTCATCCATCTCAGTTGATCATGTCAAAAGTTAAAAGTAACTATTACTCACAACAACTGCAACTTGTCGTCCCCCTTTGAGAGCCATCAGATAAAATACAGTAAAACAAATGGCGTTTTCACTAAAGACATCTCTTGGCGCCATCAACAGGAGAAGTCTTCACTTCAAAGCATGAAAAATTCATGTCCATTTCAAGCTTCAAGGCACGGAATTCTCGCCTGAAGACTTTGATTTAAGATTTCATACGAACAGTCTTGCCATTTGGAAGTATGAGCCCATAAAGCTCGAGGTTTCTCACTATAGTGCTTTTGCAACCGCGTGTCGTAAGCTAAACGCAGCGTCACATAATTACGCTCACCAATTTAGAAGGTTGTCTTTTCGTGTTCGTTTGTGTGTTTGTGATGCCAGCACAGCCAAAGAAGTTGTGGATGGATATTTATGGTATTTAAGATGTGGACAGGCGTCTACAAAACGAAGGACAAATTCAATCATGGGCCTCCTAGCAGCTTTCTAAGGTATTACAGTGGAACTTTTGATGGTATATTCCGAATATGCTATGGTCATGATTTTTGAGTTTCATTGACACTGCAGCATGATATCTTGAATTACGTAGAAACAAATTTCTACATTGTAATACTGAACATATTTCTATTTGTATAACTGCACAATTCAGTGTTGTTGCAATTGCCAACCGTTTTGAAAATTCTTAACGGACAATTTTCTCTCCACCGCTATTATACAGAATGCGAAAAGTTTGGCGGATGTGACGTCTCCTCGGAACGGACGTGACGTCACTTGAGGACGGATGTGACGTCACTTGAACAGAACACGGTCGATGGCATGGACAACGCCGTTGGTGCATGCGTGGTTGGGATTGTTGACGTAGCCTTCTATCTGGTCAACAACAACAGAAACCCCTACAACAGATAAAATAAACATCTTTTTGTCAGAACAATGAAGAAAGTTCGACTTAACGTTACCTCTTATTTGCTGGCTTTGATATTTTCATGGGGCCTAAATGAGTTGAGTTGGAAAGACGTGACTGATACGAGTACGTCAAAGTACTGAAGGATGAACTACGAAAACGCTGCATTAAGAACCATTTTTCCATCATACTTAGGCGTGGCCACAATTGTCGTAGGAAGTCGTACGATTTTGTCGTATGTTGTATTTTTGTTTTTCAAGCAGGCTTTGGCAGAAGCAACCGCCGACAAGGATCATTCTTTTACAACCTTTTCGACAACAAAGCAGCCGAATTTTTGTAAGACGCATGCAATATTATCCCAAGAATAGTTTGCGATTGTACAGCGGTCGTGCGACGAATGTGGCCGTGTACTTACCGCCAACCCCCACAATGAGCACCATGGTCTCCTTGGACAAAGTCTTGATACTCTCGTTATCATAGAACGCCTGTTGGTAGTAGATATCTGGCAGCACGTGGCGAAGGAGAACCTGGAAAAATGCGGTATGTTTTAATAGAAATGCTGTTTATTACAAAAGGGGAGTTTCTGTTTTTATCCAGCTATTCCTTCTTTGCGATCAAAAGTCAACGGAAAACGTTTTATTCAAAATTTGACTCCACACTCTGATACGAACTTTTTCAAACAAACTTGTCAAAACGGCAAAGGAAGAAGGAACCTTCTCTGCTTGCTCTGCACTCTGCCAAAGCAAGTAAGTCTCATGAAAAAGTATGTACGTATAGTATACACGTCACTAGCACTGAAGTAACGCCTGGCGGGAACCGAGACTACCGCTCACCTAGCCTCTACCATGCTTTGGAAGCGGCTGGAAATACATGTAGTGAAATGGCCAAATAGACAGAATGAGATGACATGCCAGGGGCCTCTAATTCTAAGGCCTAAGGGAGTACGAGTGTTATCTGTCTATTTGGCCAATTAATTTAAGCTCTTTCTAACCGCTTCCGAAGCCTGGTAATCGAGGCTACCCCTAGCCTCACCTTGCTAAGCTCAGTGTTGTTCAGTTTGTTGATTTCCGTCATGTTGGCGAGTTTAAAGGCGGCGTCAGTCGGCGCGAACAGTGTGAACATCTGTGTGGTGTTCTGTAGTGTCGTCATCAGTTTGGACTTGTCTAACAGCTGACAAAGAGTTCTGTAGGTATGAATGAAGTAGCCTGGTTACCAGACATATTTTAGGTAGCCGTGAATTAACAGAGTAGCCTGGAACCCATCTCTACGAGCTAGGCGCCAATAGCTGGGACAGATTCCAGGCTACCAATAGAGAGGACGAAAGACAATAGGTTTGGTAATCATGCTATGGATTATTTTTTTAGAATGAAGGGAACAATTTGCAATTAACTGAATGTAGAGAGCAACTTGCAATCAGTACTATACAAAACAAGATGTTCTATATGTTGCACTATATTTTTGCGTTTTTTTTTTTGGGGGGGGGGGGTATCGATTTTGTCTATGTGGTCTACACATCTCTTGAAATACTGTATAAGATTAACTTGAAACATTTGGTGCATCGAGAAAATAGGAAATGGACTATTCCTCACTTGTGAGCTTCGCTATATTTGATGAGGTCTCCGACTGTACCATTGGGAAATGGGTAGAGTACTCTGCTGATCTCATGGACGACTCCATTATCGGCCTTGTTATCAGCCTTCGTGATGTCAACACCGTTGATGGTGTAGATCTACAGTACGGAAGAGACACCTGGCGGTTTGGAGATGCATCGAATGCACAACTAGAAGTACACCGAGATCAAAGAATTCTTACATCGTTAACTCACTGAATAGCCAACAGAATTCTTCATTTTGTTATGATTAGTTTTCACTGATTAGATTCATGTACCTTTCCTGCATTCATGTGTTGATAGACGTTGATAGTTGCGTTCCTCTTGTTCAACATGCCGACAGTCTCGTCGTTTTTCAGGTCCTTGGACATGATGGTGTGTCCACTGACTGCAAAAGAGAGAGAGTGTGTGTGTTAATGATTAATATTGACCGCACTGTTGAATTACTAGTATTTGAGAATTAAATTCCTTCACCAAAGTAAATCTGATGATTGCAAATGTTAAGCCACAAGCAAAATGTGATCACAAAGTATCAAATAAAACAACATATTTCTCTTTTTCCTCGAGAAACTTGAGTCAGGTATAGCTCTGAACCAGTGTCATGTTTGCACCATACACGAACGACCTCTTCATTACCAACATGGTACTGCAGGACGTCCTTGGCCGTGGCAGTGCCTTTGTTCAGGGCGTCCAGAACAGGTTTAGACAGCCGTTTGAACGCCTCGTCAGCTGGTGCGAAAACTGTAAAGGGACCTTTCCCCTTCAGAGCGTCTGTCAGCTTTGCTTTGTCCAAGAAACTCGCAAGCTGTAAGAAGTATACACAACCATACATGTGTATGCTTTCTACCATCCGCAAGTTTACGTTACATATATACCTAGACAACTATCAGAGAGTACACAGCAAGTTTGCAATAAGAATTTTAGTGTGGGACCTTGAAAGCATCGCCTGTTTTAGCCTATCTATCCATTTTCAAAGTAAGCACCTGTCGTCAGTCATTTTAAATTCATATTATTGTTAAACTTCAACTCACAATAAGTGGACGCCAGAGCTGAACTCTAGATATAAAGATGGAAACGTTGCATATTTACAGATTAAACATGTTGTTAATGGTTAGTTCCGCCAACTAATTTTGATAGCTGAACATTAAAATACCACGACGATATGTTTACGGTTCACACTACGCAGAACGCCCTCTTGAATGGCGTAAATGATTTACTAAGACTGGCCTGCGTGAGGTAAAAACAAAACATATGCTCACGTACAAACAATTTTTCATTTGAAGATTCATTGATTTTTCAATTTTAGATTTCCAAAAATCATAGAGAACTTATACCAAATTTGCTTAGCAACCACAGTAGTTTCAGAAACATTTTACTTCTGTTTTTCATATTGTGAGAAACGCATGCATCAATGTTATATGTACACGTACCGACGTCAGCTTTAACGCACTTATCTCGTCAACGACCGTCTTTGAAGCCCCCTCTGTCGTCTCTATGGGGATCTGCAGATCTGCTGAGCACTCCAGACCCATCCAGACCAGACACACGAACACAACAACACCCCTCATGTCCAGTTCCTAACTATCCAGCTCGAACGTTATTGTGGGGAAGTAAGACCAGAAGTGGGCGTGGCTGAGGCTGGTATAAACCAGCGTGGGTTAACCACGTGATCGATGTCAAATGCCTTGGTTAATAAACGTAGAGGAGTTTACTTAGGTTAAACCATTACGCTTTACCAATGGGTAATCATACTTGCAGGGAGGCTGGCTGAAAAGAAAATAGACGTTAGAAAATTTGGGATTCATTCGGAAGAACAAAATGTCATTCGTTCATTTGCAAGAGTAGAAATAAAGAATAAAGAAAATCTGTTCACTAATGATATATTTTCTTCAAGCAAATGAAAAAAGAACAGTGGAAGTTTGAATGGAAAACGCTAGGGGGCATATATTATTACCACTTGTTAGGTTAATTAAACCTGCCTGCAAAAAAAAAAAACGAACCATCGTAGTCGCGACGAAGGATACATACAACTGAAATAAGGAATAGGATATAAAGAATAAAAAAATTAAAAGTACTTAGTAAATTTCCTGATACAGAATAAACAACGTCTTTCGAAGGCGCCCAATTCTCTAGAATGTGACAACAAACTTTTCGAGCGTCCTGTCTGCATGCCTACTTTTGTGACGTCATAGATATTATACAGCGTTGTTCTAAAACAGAGGCCTCTGTTACGTCACATAGGAAATTCCCAACTATACTTGTTTGTCTGAAAATGTACGAGTATCATTCTCTATCGGAAACACGAAAGACTTAGAGTGGGAAGAGTTCTCGGGAATGTTTGAATACGGACAGAGGGTTGGGAGAGGCGTTTAGCAACTGGTAGGTGGTGTTTTTTGTTTGTTTGTTTGTATTTTGTGCGTTTACGAGAATTTTTTTTGGTATTTGTGTATATTTGTGACCGTTGGTTGACTAGGAAAATGGCTCTGTATGTATGAATGTAGTTCAGCACCAAGGACAGGTTTGTTTGCTAGTGTGCATGTGTGGATGGCATTCAGCACCAAGGACAGGTTTGTTTGCTAGTGTGCATGTGTGGATGGCGTTCAGCACCAAGGACAGGTGTGTTTGCTAGTGTGCATGTGTGGATGGCGTTCAGCACCAAGGACAGGTGTGTTTGCTAGAGTGCATGTGTGGATGGCGTTCAGCACCAAGGACAGGTGTGTTTGCTAGAGTGCATGTGCGGATGGCGTTCAGCACCAAGGACAGGTGTGTTTGCTAGTGTGTATGTGTGGATGGCGTTCAGCACCAAGGACAGGTTTGTTTGCTAGTGTGCATGTGTGCATGGCGTTCAGCACCAAGGACAGGTTTGTTTGCTAGTGTGCATGTGTGCATGGCGTTCAGCACCAAGGACAGGTGTGTTTGCTAGTGTACATGTGTGGATGGCGTTCAGCACCAAGGACAGGTGTGTTTGCTAGATTGCATGTGTGGATGGCGTCACAGTTGTAGTACATTGTTCGAGAATAAGCTTACCTAATACATATCGGCATTGTGAAAAGTGTCTTCACAGTAGAGTATTGTTCATCACATTTGATCCTTTGTTCTAGAACAATCAGTACCATATTCACGTGACTAGACTGATAAAAATGCTAAAACCCTAACCACAAGACCACCTTGCCACCATGTAAGGACACATACAGCCCTGATTTGTGAAAACCTCTCCACATGTAAGTGAAGTGACTGTGTGCTAACATCTTAGAGAGAACAACAGAAGACAACCATGGAGAGGAAGAACGTTCGCAAGGTCAGCGTGAACAACATGAAGGAGAGACTTCACTTCAAGACGATCCAGGCAAACCTGGACCAACGAAGAGACAGTCAGGTAAGGAACTATTCCTCAGGTCTGCTGATTTTTGTTACTCTCTCTTCACAGCCAATGGCTGATTTGTGAGGAGCTAAAATACCGCCGCCATTTTTAATCTGCTCTCTGAGATTCAACATGGCGGCGGTATTTGGAAAGGGGCAAAGGTCAAGAGCAGCTGCCATTCGGCGCTAACTCAATACAATGCGGCCATAAGACTGCAAGGTTTGAAGCACTCACACCTCTTCTTTGCTTTGATTTACGAAAGTAAATAAATGAATAAATAAAAAGGGTATGTTTTGTTACATGTAGCTCCACGAACACGAAAAGGAAGAAAGGGAGATGTTGAGACAACTGGAAAAACTACAACAGGACAAAATAAAGTAAGGAATGAATAAATAAATAAATAAATGTAGGAAGAAACAATAGAATAAAAACGTTTTCTTACGCCATAATTACGTTTTCTTGTGGCTTTGTTGCTGTAATACTCGAGTCTTTGCCTATGTTTCAAATAATAAAAGGAACGAAAAAGGTTCGTTGTTTGTAAATGTTTATGTAACTTTATCGTTTTTATTATGTTTACCTTTGCAGAAGGAAAACATAGTGTTTTTGCTCAGTTTCTTCTTCCTCTTCTTCTTCTCCAAACAAATAAAGTAATAACCTGGACCAGATGTCTGTCACCATGGTAACTGGCGGTTTGTAGTGGTGTTTAGCAGAGTAGAGCAGAGTTGTAGAGTTTGAGTAAGAATAAACTGCAGTATTTTATTGGGTTAGACCAGGTGAAGGTTAACATTATGAATTTCCTTGCCAATCCTTTTCTTGTATTCAGTGTTGTTTCTTGAACGACCCAGATATGGTCTGGTAGAGGCTTCGGCTTCTTCCCCCTCGGCCAGGGCGTCTTCAGTGAGAGTCGCGGCGTCCACCAGACGAGGGTCGTTACCGGGGTACCTCTTACCGGGCCACACGGGCCCCTCCAGCGGGCCAATACCGCACTCCCCCTCCGCGAACTTTCGGGACCCGAGCGGAGCGTCCAGGTCTTCCCTAGCTAACTATAAATCCGTCGCATCCGGCATAGATCTAGGTATGTAGCTGGTCAATGCAATTTCTAATAGAAAATTGACATGTATAGTGCTTAACCACCTGTTTTAGGTATAACGTCCTTGTTTTTTTGGCCCACGTAGAATCTACCTACAAAGATGATGTATGGTTCCCACCTTCTCCTTGATTTCTTAAGTACAAGCCATTTGCTTTTACGTTTAGATGGTCTCCTGTCGAATTCATAAATATACGATGTTTTAGAAATATGAACCTGTTTCATACATTTTGCTTTTATAGCTTTGCTTTTACAATTATAGCTTATGTAATTAAAGCACAGTTCCGGATATCATGAGGAATGTTTACAAGACTGACGAAGCAACGAAAAGTGTAATTTTGCAAATAATGTTTTACAGAGGAGAGTCAGCAGTCCCTGTCCGGTAGATCTGAGGCCAGACTGGCGGGATCTGGGATGCTCATGGACCCGAGGGCGTCCTTCCCGGGCCCGCAGACTCCCGAGGCCTCCATGGCGTCTCTACACGGCACGGACAGCATGTCTCGCCGACGCCGGGCCATGTCCTCCACGGCGGGCTCCTCTGCAAGCACCGCCACTGCGGAGCGGTTTCGTAGACTCTCTGTCAGCGGCGCTTCTGGACTGTATTCGTCGTCCAGCGCGGAACTCCGTGATGGCGAGTCTTTCAGCACAGACAGCAGGTCCACTATGTCTAATCTGGTGGGTAAAAGGGCGCCTGGACTGACGTCAAGCCGGCACAGTGTCTGTCTCATCGGCTCCGGGACCAGCGCCTCTTCAGACACAAGGTAGAGGGAATGACTGATCCCAAAGCCCCGTCCACCTCAAATATGGGACAACATGCAGCCACCATTTCATTGATCGAATCGCTAATTGCCATCTCTCATTGGTTGAACTTTAGTTGTATCTGTTCATTCTGTTTTGTGTAGATAGATGAATTCGAACTCATGATATGTTTACCTTGGGGGGGGGCATCAACTTTGACACTGGACATGCGCAGTCTTAATTGTGAACCTTCTTATTCTCTCGCAGGCGGGCGAAAGCGTCTCCAGTGCCGGGGGAGGCCCAGCGGTACCACCACATGTTGTCCTCAGAAGCGCTGGAAACTCTCCACAAGCTCATCAAGGAGTCCAGCCCGCCCACCAGGCCGGCCCCGGGGCTCGCCGTGCGCCTGCCGCCCATCTTCGGGCCCGTCTGCTCCGTCAACAAGAGGAACCGGAACAAGCTGATGGCCCTGCAGCTGCTGCTGAACCAGCTCCCGTCCATCATGACGCAGCCGCCGGCTCCGGAGTTCAACCCGCTGGAGGTGCTCAGCTGTAGGTAAGGACAACACAGGGCCTCCATGCATAGCCACCTCCATAGATGGTCGTCCGTAGATGGTCCTCCATAGATAGATGGTCCTCCATAGATGGCCCATAGATGGTCCTCCGTAGATGGTCCTCCATAGATGGTCCTCCGTAGATGGTCCTCCGTAGATGGTCCTCCGTAGATGGTCCTCCGTAGATGGTCCATATATTGTCCTCCGTAGATGGTCCATGGATTGTCCTCCGTAGATGGCCCATAGCTATATATAGATGGTCCTCGGTAGATGGTCCTCCATAGATGGTCCTCCGTAGATGGTCCTCCGTAGATGGTCCTCCGTAGATGGTCCTCCGTAGATGGTCCTCCGTAGATGGTCCTCCATAGACGGTCCTTCATTCATTCATTTATTAATTCATTTATTAATTCATTCCTCCCCCAGGTATCTGCGTCTGTCCGCCGCTAACGTGGAGACGCTGACAGACATGTGCCGACAGGCCGGCATCGACCCCGGAATCCATCCTCACATGACTCCGGAGCAGCTGGAGGACGAAATCCGGAATCTCATGGCTCCTCAGGGACAGGGACCCCCCGCGAAGACACTCGTTCCCAGCGCAGCCCACAAGCCGTAAAGACGCCCTCCTACAAAGACACTCGTTCCCAGTGCAGTCCACAAACCGTAACCCCCCTCCCCACTACAAATGCTATCTTTCCAAGGACTAAATAGAACTACCAAGGACTAAATAGAATTTCGCCTCAGAAGTGTGCCCAACTTTGATGGCATGTTTTGTGCGTACTCCGATATATAATAAACAGTCATCAGATAAAGGACAAACACAAACGTATGCGGAACCGTGTCTGAGCATGTTTATGGATAAAGCACGGTTCCGGACACAACAGGCCCCTCGGGGTATTTATAACGCAGAAAAACAGCACCAGACACTCACGCAGGACGCCCCCTAATCCCAGGCCACAGTCGTAATAACGAACCCTGTGCACGGGTGGCCTAATTAGGCATCTAGTGTGTACACACAAACGACCTTTGCCAACCTTTCCGACCTCAGAACTGTCCTCACCAATTTTTAATGAACCTAATGACTGACTTCTCTTCTATGTACAGTATGCACTCCAGTGTTTTTTTTTCTCATTCTGTACACATTTAGAAATACAGTGTAGAATAATACACATATATACAGGACACTATTCAACATGTATACTAGTATTGTAGCTGTAGTTAAGTTATATACAATGTCTTCTCTCTAAACATGTAGCACTACATGCGTCTTTTTCCTTATGCACTACAATTCTTCCAACTTTGCAGACATTTAAAACACAATTCATATACAAATACACGTCACATTGACTGCAAATGACCATAGCAGCAGAACACAGTGGACTATTACTACTACTACTACATATTTTTGTTTATATATCTTCAAAACACGATTTACAAGTAGGTACATGAAACACTACGCATGAATGACTATTTCTCTATCAACTATGGTATCGAGTTAAGATATCTTACGGCGTACATCTTAAAATGGGCACCGATTGGTCTTCAATGTTAACAACCTCTCCCCAATTCATTTGTAGTTCATTGTTTACACTTTAAATGCCATAGAAAGATTGCTGAGGTAGTCCTATCCTGGAAGAAGTAGTTTTAGGAAACGATTTCCTACCTGGCTGTGCTGCATGTATCCTATTATTAGTTTTAGTCCCACTTTCATGAATTTTTTTCAGTGTCATTTTTGTCCATATACAGCAGATGCGTACAGCTTTCATATGTGATGCATGGCCAGTTCTGTTGTGACGTTGTCCTTTTACACGTACACCGCTGTTCCTTCTATGTTCCACCGATGTTCCATTATTGTTCTATGAGAGGGCGGCAATGATTGCAGATTGGTGCATGTAGGAGGTATTGTTGGACTGAAGTGGTGTATCTCAGCCCGTACAGTTAGTATCGTTTGTTGCCTACAGTTTTCAGAACGATTTGCTTGTCCTGACTGCAGATCGTCCCGTGTTGCTGGTGTCTCGGATGAAGCGGGTGCTTTTGTTCCTTGCCTGTGACAATTGGGAGGCTGTGCATGGTGGCTATGGGTATCTGCCTGTCCGATCTGTGTCTCAGGACTGGGAGCTGTCTCTCCTCCATATAGACCCTCTGTGACTGGAGGTGGGGGTGTTGAGGTGGATTCTTGGTCTGATGTCCATTGACCAGTGTCGGAGGCACTGAAGATGTCCAACTGCACGTTGCGTCTTCTCTGTACGGGGGGAGGAGAGAGGTTCAATGGCGCTTGGATGGCAGGCCGGCAAAACAGCTCCCTCAGAGCTCTTCGGAACTCTGGCTGCCTGAAGCTGTACACGATGGGGTTTACCATGGACGACACGGTCAGGTACAGCAGCTTGGATACCCTCACAGTCATGATGAGTTGGTCTGATGCCTTTTCGTTTCTTGTTAAGAATGCGCGAACGCAGATAATCATAACTAAAAGAGATGCCACAGACACAGCTACAACACAGACATGGGGTGCCATCACATTGAATGCCTTGGTCTTGTAAAGCCACAGTTTGCAATGTTCATCTCTCTGCTGTTGCTTCCTGGCTTCTTTAAAGACAAGATAATACAGTACGAAGACAACGATGACGGCAATCACTATCCCAGCTTGAAGAATTCCCAAGAAGATTGCCGCTGCAGTGGTGCTACCCATGGGCTCAGGAGTACAACGTAGAGTGTCTCCTGTGTTATTAAGTAGTTTGAGAAGTTCGGACCCAACTCCGAAGAACAAAGCAAAGGCCCTGGTGAAAAGCACACCGATGACGACACGTTTCGTGGTGACTTTAGCTCGGTAGTGCAACGGTTTGCATATGAAGTAGTACAGTTCTAGCGCCATCAGAAGGTACGTACCAAACATTGATGCTGTCGTGGGGTAGGCTATCAGCAGCTGTACCCAACAGAAGAGATGATCCTTACTGCTGTCCTGACTGAACAGCAAACAGATCTCCAACGGAATCAAGCAGCTAACGAAGATGATGTCGTCTACTGCCAGATTACACCGTAGGTAGTGGCGGGGTTTTTGGAGATACTCTTTCTTCCAAACCAAGAAGATGAGCAGTAAGCCGCATCCTACTGCCACCAGTAGGCTGATGACAAGATACACAGTCTGGACATCACGAGGCACTGAACTAACCGATGGTTCTCGATACATGAGATCCATGTTGGCAGAAAACCCCATCTCTTCCTCTGCCATACTTTTGGATGCTTTATGCGTTCGGATGAAAACAGAAATGTATTACAGAGACTCTTCAGTTCTTCACTACCAAGCGCGCAGTCAAGATCCTCTAGATAAGAGGCAGTTGTGAGGACCACGAGTGGAGCAGTGTACACGTGAGATCTCCTGGAGAAACCTTCTGCCTTTCATTACAGTGAATAGAAGAGGAATACATTAGACACGAGGCCGCCGACACGCGTACATTAATGCTAGCCACTGTGCATATACGTCGGTAAACTAATGCACTTCCCACGCGTACGCGCATATTTCGTGTAATTGCACTCAAGACTCCGGCTAGGGTCAGTCATGTCTGTCAAGGTTGTATGTGCACTTAACCAGGTGTTACCCTTCTTACCTTCTCTGTCAACTCACGTATAGTCTTAAACTAAGATATTTCATGATACATCGTGACATGAGTTCCAATAGGTCTTCAATGTTAACAACCTCTCCCCAATTCGGATGTTTCGAACGGTGATTGGATGACTTTATCTCGACTAATAACATCAGACTTCAAACTAAGCAACAACCAGTGTCCTCCATCATTTGCAAACGCCGGCTCAGCTGGTTAGGACACGCTGTCAGACTACCACCAACTAGACTCGCCAACCAGGTTCTACAGTGGTGCCCAGAAGGACGGAGAAGGAGGGGGCGCCCAAAGATGAACTGGCTACAGACAGTAGAGAGAGGGACCTTCAGGCAGTCAGCATGAGCTGGAAGGAAGCCTTGAGGCTGGCTGCTGACAGAGGAAGCTGGGCTACTTTGACTGCCTCATGCGTCACGAGACGCGGGAGCCAATAAGTCAAAGTAAGTAAGAACGGTGACCATCTGTCACCTTCCTCAGGAATTATAAGTAAGGAAAATAATTGACATATGTCCCCAAACATTTTTGTACAACCAAATGATTGCATTTACGTCATATCCACCTCAAATGGAAAGAGCTCCCACGTCGTAAATTGAATAAGGCCACAGTGGTACTGACTTAGTCTTATAGATGACATTCTCTGAAGACCCCAAACTAGTGCGCGCAGTTCAGTTCAGTTCAGGTCGTCCTTCGGGTGACACCATGTACTGTCTGCACAAGTTCCTGTCACGCATGACAGAGGACAGCAAGCCGCATCTTTTAGTGCGCACAGGCGAATACAAAAATTCCGGCCGCCAAAAAAAATGACGCTAAATCACTGGTATACAAAGATGGTATTGTTAATTTGTGGTAGTACAAAGTGACCTTAAAGATAAACCGACACATGCTGGCCTTTTGAGGTATTTATGAGTCGACACTGTACTGCATGAGTTCTGGAGTTCCGTGAAGCCTCAGAAGCCTGGGTGTACCCTATCGCTGGCTACCATGGACTATGGAGGACGGCACCCAAGCCGCAGCCTAGGAGGAGGTGATTCTTTATTTTTGAGAACAGGCGAAAATCAATGCGCGCGTAGATGTCATCCATAAAATTAAATCAGTGTGGCCTAAGTTAAAAACAGGTTGATAGACGTCATGACTAATGCAGTCTACATGTGAACCTATCGGCGCCGCTGAGAGACTAAGTGTTATGATGAAGTCCTTGACAACCTTCTGAAACAGCGCAGTCAGACTAGACAACTGTCTGAAAGCAGCATGGTATTACATGTACGTAAGACAACTTTCCGAAAGAAGAGTGGACATGACAAACCAGGAAGAGTGCACAGTCAGGACTCTGGCACCATCCCATAACTGCCATTAATAGCAAAGAATCTGCAAATTTTGTAGTTTAGGAGATAAAATAGGATGGATACCAGGCTAACATAGCCTTATCCATTTCTTTCAATATATAGCTCAACAGTACAATGTGGCACTGCAACTTTGTTTCCCACATACTTTCCGTTAAAACCGGATGTAACATTTCAATGTCACTGACGTAGAACTTTGATCCACATAACATCTTCATGGCACACGATTGAGCAATCAGCCAGGTGCCAATGTCCGCAGCATTAAGTTGACAAAGGATACGGAAAGCACACTTCGTTTTTAGTGCGAGGATGTCACGTTTTATCTGCAAACTTTCTGTGCACAGGAATCGCTCGTCATAACGTCATTACACTCTGCGTTTGCCAGAGAAGGGTTGGATTTTCCTCGTCTTGTCAAAGAGACAACAATTTTCTGAAGGAGTCATCTTCTGAAGCGATCTTATCAAGGAAAAATATGTCGAACGAAGCAAGTGGTTTTTCCTTTAACCTGGATCTCGTGCATCGTGCTTTATCTATAGCTACTACACCACTGTCTCGTGATGTCCAGACTGTGTATCTTGTCATCAGCCTACTGGTGGCAGTAGGATGCGGCTTGCTGCTCATCTTCTTAGTTTGGAAGAAAGAGTATCTCCAAAAACCCCGCCACTACCTACGGTGTAACCTGGCTGTAGACGACATCATCTTTACAGGCTGCCTGATTCCATTGGACATCTGGTGGCTTTTCAGTCTAAACAACAACAATGATCAACTCGCCTGTTCGCTGCAGATGCTGATGGTCCCTCCATTAACAACGTCAATGTTTGGTACGTACCTGATGATGGCCATTGAACTGTACTACTTCATATGCCACCCATTACACTACCACGACAAAGTCACCACGAAACGTGTAATAATTGGGATAGTTGCAGTCCGGGTTTTTGCCGTGCTTGTTGGAGCTGGGCCTACGATTGCCGGTGGACTGCAGAGTTTACCGTGTGATCAAGAACCGAAGAGTAACACCGCCTTAATGACAATCAACTTTGCGATCCGCCCTGGCTGTATAATGTTTGTCGTCCTTTCCATCTTTATACTCTATCTCCTGGTTTTTAAGGAAGCCAGGAAACAGCAACAGAGGGATGAGAGACGAAACTTGTGGCTCTACCAGACCAAGGCCTTCAAGACAATCGCACCGCATGTCATAGTTTTAGCCGCACAAGTGATAACACTCTTGTTCCTGAATGTCACGTCCTGGGCATTAATGGCTAACGCAGATGCAGACAAAGTATCGAGCACACTGGTTAAAACTATGAGAGCAGCAAAGCTGCTACTTTTGACTGTATCGTCCATGGTAAACCCCGTTGTCTACAGCTTCAGGCAGCCAGAGTTCCGAAGAGCTCTGCGGGAGTTCTTTGGCCGGCCTGCCCGTATACCTCCTGCACCGGTGCCGCGTGTGGTTCAGGCAGGACAGAACGTACAGATGACCGTCTACAGCGTCCCTGTCCCTGGTCAAGGAGTGCCGGGTCGAGAATTAGCACCAGAACCACATTATCCAGAAGAAGAGAGGCAGTGTGAAGAAGAAGGATCTCCAAGTCAGACCCAAATGCAGGAGAAGCCTCATATGTTTAAGGGAGGGCAGAACGCAAAGGTGGTCATCCTCAGCATCCCTGGTCAAGTAGCGTCAAGTCGAGAATCTACATCAGTACCACCTTCTGCCGAAGAAGTAATTGGACTGCGCGAAGAAGAGGGATCTCCAAGTCAGACCCAAAAGCAAGAAACACGGGAAGACGTGCAGCCACAGCAAACACCCCTTTCAGAACACTGTAAGCAGAAGGCGACTCGATCCAGCGGTCCTATGTTGTTAACAGTACGGGCAGAGGTGTACCCAACACCCCTTGATTGTCACGACCAGAAGACGGTCCCTTCTGACGAAGGTAAACCCTCCACACCAACAGAAGACGTGGACATCACCAGTCTCATAAGCGATGCGGTCATCGCAACGAAGAGTCCAACCCTACAGCCAAAGACGGCATGGAGTGGCAGTATCTTAGGATAACCTTCAAAACAAGGAGGGCCCCCGAAGCGGTTTATTTAGATAGGCGGGCGTAGGGCTCTTGGCTCCCCAAGGAAACCGGCTAACGGCTCGATACTAGTCTGGCCCCGAGGGTATGTAGATCGAACATGAAAACATCACAGAATTTCATTGTCGTCAGCCTCCCAAGCATAGCCTAGTAAAACGGGACCCTTCGTGGCGGTTGGAAACGAACTAAAGCTAACAAGACTGGATTCCAGGCCAAGTATGCTGGATGTGGATGCTGTGTACATACGAAATGATTTGTAACAAATTTCTTCACCAATTTATTTTTAAATTGGACTAGAGTAGGGCGAAACGAACCAAATGCACCAAATGAAGGTAAGAAAACAAGTTGCTGCCTCTTCCGTTATTATGGTATATCGTTAACACAGACACATATGGCGTATGGATGTAACGTTAGAAATGCGTGCGTGTGTGCTTGGAGATTTAGAAAACAATGGAGCGGACATGGCAGGTGTAGTTGTTGTGTTAAAATGCTCAGCAGTAAGTGCTAAAGTGGATTCTAGATCCACTCCAAAATGTAATCATGTGTTTAACTGAAGTCAACACAAAGTCAGCCTTAACTGGCTTAAGCTGAGAATATTCTATGGGATAAAGCAAGATTTCCTGCAGATGTCAGTACTACCAGCTGCTTCAGGGTATGTCAAAAATACCTAGTGGCTTTAGTGCAGTGCAGGAAAAAAAATGTTCATCGTAGTGCTATCTATGTGATTGTTTTACATGTAAACTGTCTTTTGAAAGTATGTAAAATGATATGTTTGAAAGTACAGAAGGAATATGATATATCTATATATTTAGTGAAAAGTAGCTGTAAAATCTGTACATGTATGCAAACAGAATATATCATCACAATAGTTGAATTTCCAAAGAAAAATGTATTTAGTCCAACACATTATGAAACACTTGTTGTACCTGCATCTATAGTTTTAAATGTAAGTAAAATGTTCACCAATACAGACATGTACATGTACATGGATGTGAACCTTCTTGTCTATTGTCTATGCTTTCATATAGTGGTGCATACCTAAACCCACATTTAGGTTCAGGTCCGGATTCAAGTCCAGAGGTTTAGGTTCAGTTCCAGACTCGCAAGTCCGGACCTAAACTCATGGCATATACAAAATTGCATGCTGCCACCTTGCAATGTTGTCTGGGTGAAATTTTGGCCACATAACAAGGAGGCCGGTACTTGACGATGCCCAATGGCAATGTTTTCTTCATTTTGCAGCAAAGATTTTGCAATCTACGGAAGGTTTTAGGTGGTTTGGAAAGAAAAGGGGTATGTGAAATGGTCTTTTATGGTAATAAGTCCGGACTGGGTTCTTGACTTTTAGGTTCTTTTGGACTTGAACCTAAACATTCTTACAAGTCCGGATACAAGTCCTGTGAACCGGTATGCACCACTACTTTCATAGGTTGAAAAATCTGCAACTCCCAAATACTTGTATGATAGCTGTACCTGTGCTGTTCAACTATTACGTTTTAGCCCATCAAACATTTCCTTAACAAAAACAAACTCCCCTGGCATATCATCTGTCTATTTAGCCAATTTCTACTGTTTCCAGCTGCTTCCTGAAGCCTGGTAGAGGCTAGGCAAAATTTAAGGCTTGTACAGGAGGGTGTCGACCACGTGCACGACTCCGTTGGTCACGGGAATGTCCGCAATCAGTACGCGGGAAAACGTCCCATTCCCGCTCACCTCCATACCTGGAAAAGACCTCCCATTTAGGTTTGGACAAGGCAAATCTTTAAATTTCTAATTAGAAAAAAAAACTGTCGCAGTTGTGTCACGTCTGATAATCTATATCAATCTATCATTAAATACTTACCGAATATAATTCTTCAGAACAGATTATGAAAGATATTTGATTCATAAAAGTACATGCATACAGACAATAGGGTAAAAAACTGATGCAATGCCTACTTTTAAGTGTTTTTCAAATTCCCTTTGTAAGAGCAGTTTTGTAAATTTTAATACTTTTGACTTTGAAGCAGCTTTATTTTTCCTGAGACCATGAATTCATGACACAAATAAATCTCCCTTATATCGGTATTACTTCTGTACTACAGAATTGTTTCAGTGTAAATTTATGTGCTAATTTGTGGAAAAGAAATAATTGTTTACCTCCTGGACCTACTAATACTGTCAGTTCTTCACTGTTATCTCCTAGAGTTTTAACTTTCTCATTGTCAATGAAGCCAGCGTGGAAAATCACATCTTGTAGAATGTGCCTCTTCATGACCTAGGAAACCAGAAAATACATTGATTCATAAAAAAAATAAATAAAAAAATATGTACAGTATATTTTTTTTTGTGATCGAAAGAAAATTCTAGACAAAGAGTTTTTCAACAGTTTTTCATAACAGCTAATTTTTTTTTTTTTTAAATTCCGAAACATGTAATCACAAGACGTGGTGACGGCAAACTCAAGTTTTTTTCAACTTATATTAATGCCTCCACCAACACAGGGACAGTACAATACTCATTTACACCTGAGCGAAGTGAGGAAAGCTGTGTAAAGTGCCTTTCCCAAGGGCACAAGATTGGTGGCATGTCAGGACTCAAACCCGGGGCCTCTGGTTCCGAGTCGAGAACGCTGCCGCTACGCCACACGACCCCACAGCTAATTCTAATTCAGCATTTCAATACTATAAACATTATACTTTGCCATTGAGATGTATCCATATTTTGGACTGTGAATGTAACAGTAACTCTTTGTCTACCCACCTGACTTGCAGTTCCAGAGTCGTTCATTAGGTGGCGCAGCTGAGCTGGGTCTAGTTTCCCCAGGGCAGCATTTGTTGGCACCAGGAAGGTGTGAGCCATGGTGTCATTCAAAGTGTTGTTTACTCCAGCAGCCTCTAGTAATTTCAGTGTCTGACTGTAAAACATGTTCATAAAATATGCCAGATATCTTCATAAAACATTTCCATAACATTTTAATGGCTAATAATAATTCCAAACAATAGTAAAATTACAATAGCAGCCTTGTTTACTTCCCACAAGACGATAATCTACAATCCTACTGGCTTTGGCTTTTATGATTCTCTAGAAAGTGCAGTACTAGTCACATCTGAAAGGAGGCACTTCTGACCTGTACGTTGCCATGTCCTGTGTAAGATACTGCAGTGCAGTTCCCCTTGTGAGAGGAAACAAAACTTTGTCTATAACATGAAGGACTCCATTCTCTGCCAACTGGTCCTCCTTGTACACTGGGGAGCCATTGATGGTTATAACCTTTGAAAGACAGAAACCAATTGTTATAAAAACTTCATCTACTTTTAGATACATGTATAACTGAGTAATGTATTGTAAATCTTGATATGTTCAAGGTGGATTTCAGTTTTTGTGGTGAAACTAATAATATTCGTTTCCAATGTAATACTACAATACTACAGAGTTGTTTTAAAGCAGATACCTCCGTTCAAATCTACTGCAGATTTGTCCCTGCAACAAATGAAATTACAGTATACAATAATTGAAAATAAGAGGTAAAAGTATAATGTCTGACAACCAAGTGAATTGGCCTTACCTTATCCTGGCCTGCTTCTGAGTTCTGATAAACATTAGCCCTGACTGTGCTGTTGTTGGCTGTCTTTATAATCTTGTTGTTCTGTAAACTTCCAGATTTCAGCTCCTTTGGAACTGAAACACAAGTGAGGGCACTGAAAATCTTGAAAATCATAAACCTCCATGAAACATATCATCTAGTTGTTGTGAATTAGTGTTTTATTCATTATTGTAAATTTCTCACTGAGTCGGTCTATGCATTTTCCCATAAGGCAACAGACATGCATAATCTGCATGTAGCAGGAAACAGAAGACAGGAAACTACATAACCTTGTATGGGACCTTTGACCTAACTTCCCGTCAGTGTTCTCAAGGTGCCTAGCATGTGGAAATAACTACGAAAACACAAGCAAACACATGAACAAACCCATTGAAAACAAAACCTTCAAAAAGGCAGGTAACAAAGCACTGGCTAGACCCCATTCAGACTGGACAGGTTTTTCTGCCTCCCAGACTGGACAGGGTTTTCCGCCAACCCTACAGCACTTGACTCACCGATATGATACAGCAGGACCCTGACTAGAGTCTCGGGATCTTGAAGTGATGCTTTTACGTCTTGTGGCAGCCTGTCAAAGGCACTGTTGGTTGGAGCGAACACTGTCCAGTGGCCCTTCGCTTGCAACATGGAGTCCAGACCAGCTCGTTGCACCAAAAGATAAAACTACAACATTGAAGAAAACACAGTACAAAATATTTGTCAATTTGCATACACAAATCCTAAGGTTTGAAACAACTGGACAAAGGAATAAACATGTGAAACATGCTTTGGAAGTATTTGGGGGTTTTATGAATACCCGATTGAATAACATCATAGAACGATTGTATGAGTACTATCTTTACACCGGTATTACATATGACATAATTGTTTGTTTCATAACCATTTCTGTTGATCAACTGAAACCCAATCTCTGCCCACCCACATCAAACTCCCCTAAACCTGAGCCACCCAGAACAATACTTCCATCCCGGAAGTAAAAAAGAGTAATTTAATCATAATAGTGACAAAACTCACCGCTTTCAGTCCAAGTTCGGAGGCTAGAGTCAAAAGATCAGGACGAGCAGTTTTGTTATTTTGCCGGGACAATTTAAGTTTATTTGACTTCCAAATTTCCTTGTTACTAGTATTTGGCGGGAAATTCCCGCCATTGAGAATCTCATTTGCACCTGTTGCAGCACAGAACGCGACTAAAAAGCCTAAAAATGTGACAAAAGTGAGCTTCATTTTCAACGAAATTGAACCAGTCTGTCAGAAAAATAGTTCAAACCAACGAGGCTTTTGCTTTAAACTACATTTAGGTCTTTAGGGCGTCTTTTGTATCTTAAAAATCAACGAACAGTTTCTCCTTGGCTTCAGACCGCCATTATGGGTCAAGGGTTGTAAGAATATTACATTAGAGCAAAATTTTGACCATACATTTTTAATTTCAAACGAAGATACCCTATAATACACCAATTATGCATTTCAAAAGAAAAAGACTATTTTTAAAGAAGCAGGAGTATTCTATATTTTATCATTTTATACTTACAAGATAGCAAAAATAATAAATCTTTGCTTTTTTTTCACACAATGTCAACACCCCTGATTTGTGGAAATGTAATGATCCACCGGTCAAGGGTCAACTTATGTAAACTGGACCAGTCTGACGGTATATAAATCAGAAAGGACAGTCTAATGCCCGTAATATTATGTTTTTATGGCGAAAAATCGGTGTCGTAGGTTCAGGACTATGTGGTGCGTTCGTTTTACACGAATTGTGGGAGAGGAAAGATGTTTTTAACGTCCAGGCGTTCAGTTTTTGGGGAGGTAGTAAGGATGAGGGGGAGGGGCAGGATTTGAAACTGAAACTGGTTCAGATCGTTTTCAGACACGGCGCGAGAACTCCGATATCACGACTTCCACCAAGTATAGAACAGGTAAGAGAAATATTAACTTTTATGATCCATATTTTGATTTCACTGTCGTAGGTAATTGTTGTTGTTGAAGTCCTCATTTAACGTCTATTTTCCTCACTAGACATACATGTAGTATCATGGAGGTAGAAAAAGACCTCCATGGTAGTATCTAGGAAAAAATGTTACATGTTTCCTGTTTCAGTCCCGAAAAAATTAGGGTCGGTATGTAGGGATTATCTTCCCTAGTGGTCCAACTTACAATAACTGACAAAACTTGCATGAGGACACTTATATTTTTTTTAATGTCAATGTTGAAAAACCAAATGTAGAACATTTTATCACTCAGGTTATAGTTGTGTATGCATAATCATACAAAATCAGAAATTACTTTTGTAGTAGAAGTTGAAAAATAGAGAGACAATATCTAGAGTTAGATGTTCAAGGGTTAGGTGTAACAAGTCAATCAGTGAAATATAGGCAGCTGCCGCCTCGCCGCGTGCCTGCGAAGCTGGTGTGTTATGCCAAAAGGCGGTTATACCAGCTATACAGATACAGAATAACTGCTACATTGACCATGTATTATTACAGGCTACATGGAGTACAGAACTACTGAAGGATGTGCCCCACACACTGATAGACTATCATATATTATTACAGGCTACATGGAGTACAGATCTAGTGAAGGATGTGCCCCACACACTGATAGACTATCATATATTATTACAGGCTACATGGAGTACAGACCTAGTGAAGGATGTGCCCCACACACTGATAGACTATCATGTATTATTCCAGGCTACATGGAGTACAGACCTAGTGAAGGATGTGCCCCACACACTGATAGATTATCATGTAGAGAGTCTGGATGGTGGACCTCGCCCCCCCTCCCCAGTGGAGGACAGCTACCAGAAGCACGGACCTCACAAGGTGTGTGTCACCAATTTAACAACCTACCAAAATTCCACATGCCTTTTGGTACCAAATTTGTATGGACTGTTACGTAATTGAAACATTTATATACGAGCACATACAGAGAAATTTTGTTCCAGCACAAAGAATTGTTCTTACCTTGAGAATTTTCGACCAGTCACTCTGGTCTTTCTCAGTAGACTGACCCAGTGAGGCTTGTCATGTGGCCTCTCTGAAGTGTGACGTCAACACTGGATCAAAGGTATCTGGTAGACAATGACAGCCAGTCAGCCACATTGTGTTGGAACAATTAAGTTCCAACATGTAAGTACCAACATAGATGAAGTTTTATGACAATACAAGAAACCTGGTTTGCTGGTTACAAGAAACAAACAAATATTTGTTTATGCTTTTTTTGTTATAGGGTGGTGCTAGATGGGGACAGCTGACATCCCTTGGACAGCAACAGATGTTTGACCTTGGACAGCAGCTCAGGAAGCACTACATTGAGAACCACAGATTCATAGATCCTGAGTACAACCCACAGCAAGTCTAGTAAGTGTAACATAGGCTCTATATTGGCAGCCACAGATTCAGTAGTAGTACTGCACTGTACTTTTTAGCATAAATTGAAATATCAGCTGTTAACATGTAGACCAATAGATTCTGATTAATCAATAAATTTTTTACTAAATCATAGATCTTTTGTTGTGTTATTTGAAAAAAAGAATGACTCAGGCCAGATCATAAAAATGTTTCAATTTACGCATATGATTAATAAGGGATAGGATCATATGAAATATATTAAGGCTTTAATAGTAATATTTAATCACCAAAATTGGACTGGTAACAGGTATAGGTAGCAGGGAAAGGTTAAACTAAAAATTTTGTGAATAGGATTTACCTACATGCAGTATATATATGTTTTTGATGTGTTTTACGTTCAGTGTACGAAGCACTAACATCAAGAGGACCATCGAATCAGCGCGATGTGTGCTTGCAGGGATGTTTGGAAACTCACAGTCAGGCAAGGAAGGTAGGGAAGTCTGAAAAAAGAATTGGTAAAGTATCTGTGTCCTTTCTCCCATATATTATAGTGACAAGCCAAGCTTAAACCGATGAAATTAGATGAACGTTCGAATGAAAATTCATCTGCGACGGTTAATGACATTATGAAAATTTGAAATGCTCTAACGGAACACAAAAATAAAGTGCTCATCAACAATCATTTGGTCTTGAAGCCTAGGCTTTAATTTCAACTGTCTGAGGACTGAGGGAAAGCTTGTTGTTAAGCACTTTACTTTTCTGTACGTTAATATTATGGTTTAAAGTCATCCCTGAATGGACATGCTTATCAGGATCAGCTGTGATTGACACCTGCCAAATTACTAAGGTTACAAACAGTTTCAGAAACAGAGCAAACAAAACCAGTGTTAAACCCAAATTTGCCTAAAAATATAATTTAATATCCTCTACGATTGAAAAATTTTGTCTATTTTGATAACAGTAAACAGTACCAGACACTGCATATTTTATTAATTCCAAAAATGAATTTCTGACATTTTATTTGTAAAAAAAAACAAGCACAATGGAATGTTGGAACTAGATGTTTAGCTGTTTTTTTTTTTACAAAAATTCTTCATTTCTGTTCTTGAATTACCTGGCTGCCACCCAACATTCCCAGGTCCTATAGTCATCCAGACTTCTACAGCTGAGGAGGAGACTTTCTACCCCAACAGAAACAACTGCCTAGCCATGAGACCTTTAATCAAGTGAGTTGGGATATCAACAAATGGTGACAGGTCTCTACATGTTTATTGATCTCCTCCCTGAAATTATCATGCAAGTTCATCTGTGTCAGTAGTACATGTAATCATATTCATAGTACAATGCTGGTAAAGGGTTGATCTTTGTATACCCTTGGTGTTGGAATAAAAATTCAGCATTGTACAGTAACTGTAAAATTTGATAGAGGCATGGTCAATGCATGAAATATTGGGCTAATGATCTTATTTTCCAATAGAAACTTATATTTGGTAGCCTTTTTTTATCTGAGTTAATGGCATTTGCATGGTATGTAATGTTAGCTAAACTGTATGCTGGGCTTCTAGGCAATTGCAAAGTGTTACATAGTTTGGACTTCAACGAAACTGTTGCAGTTTCCATTGTTTCCTCCTTTGTAATTGGTTGTCATTGAGGTCTTTGTGTCTGTGATTGGCTACTGGCATTGTGGTCTTATGTCTCATCTGATTGGCTGTTTTGCCTGTACATCTGTGTGTGATTGGCTGTTCATGTCTTGATCTCTGATTGGCTGTCTCTGTTGTATACCATCAGTTACCCAGGTGTGATCTTGTCTGTGATTGGTCAGATGCTCTGCTGATAGCCCCCTATTTTTTTTCTGAAGCAAAACGTTTTTCAAAGCATCTCTGATTCTATATCAGATCTAGAACTTAGCTGTAAAAGGGTTAAAGGACCAAAGTTACTGATTTTGTTGGAAACAGGTTACATATCAGGAAGGCAAATATATTGTACTTAAACTCTGTTTGGTCATCGCATTGGTAACCTTCTCACAGCTGTTTAACCCATAACCAATACAAATTTGGTGCCAAACTGCTACCTTAGCAGGCTGTAGGTTAATAATCACAGCTGATCCTTGAATCTTTTTTATCTCATGTAACATCTGTGTCCATAATATCACCATAGTCCATAATATCGCCACCTTGAGAAAAAGTGTGCTTAAAGATATTTTTACTGCAACATACCCTAGGTATGTACATTTGATGTGTGAAGGAGTGCATACCAAAAGTATGTTGCAGAAAAAATATCTTAAAGCACACTATTTCTCAAGGTGGTGATATTATGGACCCTGGTGATATAAGGACACGGATGTTAGTGTTACATGTAACCATATCACATTTGGTACCTAAACTGTAAACATACTACATTTTACAAGAAGATAAACTTCATTGTACAACAAATATAGTACTGCTATATAACAGCAAACTTACTATGATAACTCAAAGTACTGTAGATTGCAAGAATACTGAATAAGATTGGCATTATCCTATAGCTACAGCTCTACAGAGTAAAGTTAATTTCTCCTCAGCACTTTTAATGCCTCTTCTTCCTTGGCTTGGCTAACGCTTTAGATGTTTGTTATATTTCACATGATTTCTATTACAGATCCTATCAGAATATACACAAGTCAAGTCAACAAAGAAATATTCTGGCCCAACTATGTACACTGTGGCCACTTAGGGGCATTTTGGAAGTGAGTCCTTTGTGTGTGTGCTTTCCCCCCCTTTCTGTTTGTGTACTCTTCCATTTGCACCAATCAGCATACATGTTTCTAGTTTGGGCTAGTCCATTGTTGATTCTAGAGGTAGTCAGATGTTGGGTAAATGTTCACTTTCTGGTTAATCATTCTCATTTTATTTTCTGATTTTCTCTATTGATAATTAAAAAGATCACCCCATTTGGTTAGTACAAGTTTACTAATTTTTGAGGTTTGTTACTAACATGAAACAAACTTATATTGCTAACTTTGATATTTCTATTACAGGTATATTGATATCCAAAATGTTTGGTCAGAAATATCTCTTAGGAACTAGTTTTTTAAAGATCTAAATAAGATAAAGTTGGTTCAAATAATGTAGCAATTTTTGAGCTTTTGTATGTAACTAGAACTGTACTTCAATTTTAAATAAAGTGGATGGTGCCAACTTACATTTAAGGTAAGTTTAAGAGAAATTCAATGGCAAAACAATGTAACAGTTTAATGCATTTACCCACCTCCCCATATGATTTAAGTTCAGATGCTTTGAAGTTTTGTATTGTAAAAAGGCCCAAAAGTCCTTTATGGTAAAGTGTTGCATCCAAACATTTAAACTGACTGTCTACTAGAAAACTAAAAGACATTGGAAGTCTGTATAGAGTTAATTGATATGCTGTTTTCCATCTTGTAGAACTGCATGGGGTTTGCTGGACACTGCTCTACCAGGGTACAGGGAGGACAGGCTGAAACTACAGAGGATACTGGGGATAGAAGAGGCCAGGCAGTTCAACATATTTGGCCTGAGGGATGAACTAACAGCACGAAAGGTAACAGGTCTAGATTAGGTCATAGTACATACTAGTAGTTCACATAAAAGCTGGTTCGTGGTTTGAACTACAACAAGGTCAAAATATTGTTTTTAGTTTTCAATACCGTGTTATTTTGTTGCAGGCACATGGCCTACCTATCCCAGAAAGCCTTGCAGCTCTGGAGGACGTGGTAGAACAGAGAGCGACCCAGTGCATGGCCGCGCTGGTGTCCGGGATCGAGGACGGACATTCCCACGCCTTGCGCCTGTCCACGGGACCGGTCATCGACCTTCTGACAAAGAACATGCTGAGGGCGCAAAACACAGACAAGTGAGACAAACCTGTACTCCATTTGTATAAGAAATGAGAGATTTCAGGTTTCCAGAAAGTTCACAGACTTCCAGGAGGTTTTTTGGGGTTTTGGTGAATGTATTGGCAGTTTTGAGGGAATTGTATGATGTTATTTAATCAGGTATTTCACCACTTCCTGAATTCCTCCACATACTGCCTTCTTACTCCCACAATGCTGGGTCACCTTCAGGCTGGTTCTTCCCATCAATCAACTGCCCAAATCATCTCCCACCCAACATGCAACCAAAGCAATTAGGATATGCATATACTTTGCCTACAGACCACACTATTTTAAGGGTCTGTAATGCTAATTTGGTTAATGTCAATCATGCCAGTTTCCATAGTAACTGGATTCTCATTGGTTGTTGCCTAGCTGCCACAAGTTGCACCTGTACTCTGGCCATGACACCACCCTGATCCCACTACTGAAGGCTCTGGGCATCTTTGATGACCGCTGGCCGCCATATGCTGCTCACGTCACTGTGGAGTTCTACCAAGATGCCAAAAAGAACAGCTTTGTTAAAGTTTTGTACATTGAAGAGGTATAATTCTTTTTTTTTGTGTATGTGTGTCTTCTTTTTGGAATGACAACCACAGCAATACATACTGATAAAGATAGATTACAAAAAAACTTTTTCATTATGTTGCAACTCTATCAGGAGGGATTCAGACTCCTGTCACCAGATACATTGTATATGAATGTGTTTGAGTAAGAATTAACAGAGTAGATTATGAAGGTAAACATTATGCATTTGCTCGGCAAATGTTATCTTTCTAGTTTATCAATATTTTTTTAGATGTTTAAAATTTTGATGAGAAGTTATATTCTCCCAACAGGAAAAGCAAGTACAAGGCTGCAGTGCTGTCCTGTGCCCATTTGAAGAGTTCCAGGAAGCCATGGCAACAGTAGCTTTGTCTCATAAGACATTTTGGGAGAATTGCAAAATTGATCAAAAGAAGCCTTCCCAGACCACTAGTAGTGTATGATGGAATATCCTGGTACCATATAGTTAGAGATTTGAAGGCATCCTATGCAATTTTAGGGAAGGAAAAACAAAACAATATTATATATGGATAAGGAATCTAATATTGACATTTAGTGTCATTTCTCATCATTTCATACTTTAAGCATTTGAAATAATCCCAAAACAAGCCATGTGAGGCATCTCTTTATTTTTGGGTACCACCCATAAATAGAACCAGATAGAACTAGCCAATGATACAAAACATCATGTTTTCGCCTCACTAATAGTATACATGTACATGCTATGGGATAGCATCGATTCAACTTACTATATTAAAAGAATGACCAGAAAATTGACTTTGAAAGTAGAGTTTTGTCGCCCTGAAATTGTATTGGATGACTTTAAGTGCCAAAGTAGCCTTTTTTTTCCATTATGGGGTTAGAGATCTCAAGGGTGAGAGGGTTAATTTGGTACGTTGGTCTCATGGATTTTCTGGAACTTACAATGCAATGCAATATATTTCAACAGCAAATCTTTCTGTTATCTTTCACTTCCACCTAAGGCATGTTACACTTTGCTCCAAAACGTTCTGACATTATATACATATTGTGATATTAACTGAAGGAGAATATGACAAATCAAGGAGGATAATAACCTCCTTGGACAAATATTGATATTTCAGATCAAAACTTCTTTACATCAGATCTACGTAGTTTTGCGCTAGCTTTGAAAATAGTTATTTTCGTTTATTGCGTGTTGCATCGAATGTTGTCTGTGTTTTAATTGTACCTTATACAAAGGGGAAAAATTTGTTTTGAAAATATGCATGCTGAATAGACATTGCTGTATCAATTATATCATAAAGTTGCATGGATGTGTACAATTATGTTATACTAGCTATGCGTGAAAAAGTGGAACATCTCAAAACAGTATTTACAAGTTCATTGTATTAGGCAACTTTTCATAGCTCTTTTTAAGAAGTACAATGAATAGTGGACCACTGCCCCTAACCTAAGAACTGCAACCCTTTCCAGTAGCCTGTATGTCGGGTGAGCAACGACAGAAAGGATTCGAACCCCCAACCTCTTTGTCCACTGGCAGGGTCACTAGCTATTGAAAGACTGTTCTCTTCTAGTACTTAAGTATTACATGACTCTTGCAAACTGTACGATTCACATCACTGAAGACTTACTACAAATATAATTGTCATCTATCAGATAGATTTCAACTTTTAACTCTTAACTTCTCAATTAAGACAAGAATATGTCTTTGCTAGACCCTATAAGTAAGCATGTTTGAAACTTAAGAACTCTTTAAGAAAATTTTGTATGGAAAATCTTTTCCACACAGGTACTACTGCGAATTTTTGCAGATATAATATCTTGAATATTGTCAAAGGATTATGGAGGAATATGGCTTCGGTGTAGTGCAAATGAAATAAAAGGATATTTGGTAAAAACAAATTGTTTCAGATATGTGTTGTTTACTAGTGTGAAAATTCAAAAGGGCACAACAAGTAAGACTATACTCATGTATGACTGGTGTACGTGGCATGGTAGCCAACACAGACCCGCTGGTTTGCACATAAAACTTCAAAAGCCTTAAGTACAACACAATGGGATTTGCCACTGTTCTTCTTCAACTGCTGTCACTCCAATGGTCATCGAAGTGCGTCGAGCAGGTACCCTGCCTTTTGAACGTTTTTGGTCGGCTGAATTTTCAAAAGCACTTCATCACATGAGAGACCTTATGTCCGGTTGATATTTTACCCCTCATGGCTTATACCCCCTAGATATCATTGGAATCATCCAAATTCTCGTTGATTCAGAATAATTTTGGATCATTTGATAATCTACAAAGGGGGGAAAGGGTGGTTGCTATAACTTTTATTTTTTCGCCACTTTTGCATCGTCAGAACAAAGAGTTTTCACATTGGGTTTGGGACGTGGAGGCTACCTGAATTTTTTTCTGAGATTTTTTTCCTTGATTCGGTAAAATGGGTAGACTATTTCTCCATGTCGTGGGTTTTGCTGTTGTATTTTTCTTGGCGCTAGAGGAGGGAGCTTTCGCCAAGAAGCGTGCACGGGACGTGAGATGGCATTTACTGAGAAACGGGACGAACTGTGATGTTAAAGCACAACTGGGTGAGTAAATTTTTATTTCTTAGTGTACCAAACAATTTTAAAAAAGAGTTGTACATTGTACCTTTATTTGAACAATTCTTCGCCTTTTGCGAATATTTCTCGTCTTAAGCTTCGGCTGAAATAAAGGAATAATATACCAGGGGAGGTAGCCGGCCAGAGAAGATCCAATTTGCGACCCACGGAGCCTGTGCGGGGTTTCTAACAATCGCGATAATTAAAAAAAGACAGCCAAAAATGTTTATAGTGACAACAGAGTACTAGTAGACAGATGTACACTATATACAATAATACATGTTTCTTAATGCTTGCATGATAGTCCTTATACAGAGGTTGTAACTTATTTACTATTAACCTTAGCGAAGTGCCGACAGTGGACACACTGCAGACATTGGTTCAAAACAATGTCCACAGCAAAGGCATCAGCAAACTTGTACAGTTCCACACAGGTGGAACGCTCCACGTTCATGGCCATGTAGCTGCTGCAGGTGTCTCTCACGTAGTCCAGCTGCAGGAGGTCGGCTGCCTGGTACAGGTGCTGCACTCTGTCCAGGGACACGTGGAGGGTTCTCGAGTAGATGTAACTCAGGATCTCCCCAAACATGGCTGCATCCAAACCCTGTAGAGTGATATAATGTATTTACTGTACTGTATAATGTATTTACTATTTATTTGCTGTATCCTACTTGAAGACACGTACTGCTACTTCCAGCTATGGTAAATTTTGAAACTTTTGAACTTGGAGTTGTGTCGAATAACAGCAGAACATTCTGCTCAGAACCAAGAAGTCCCGGGTTCGAATCCCGCCATGTCACCAAATAATTGAATAAAGTATTTATTTAACATGGCTATTTCAGTCTGGCCTACATTCGTCAACATTCATGTGAGGCAAAATGTTGTCATTTAAAAAAGAAAGCCACAAGATACTGGAGCAAAAGTTTAGGGAGTCAACTTAGGAAATAAAAGTAGTGTCTTCTTTACAACAGCAACATGCATCAACAACAACTTTACTACTGATATTACTTATTTTACTGATTTATAGTACATCTCTATATATATATAAAAATAATACAAAGAACCCCTAGAGGGACTAGTTTTGCTATACTTCAACTGTGATTTGCCACAAATTTACCTTCAAAACAACCGTTTTCTGTCGACACTCCGCCATATCAGTACCCTGGATGCCAAACTAGTATCAGGCCGTTAGCCGTTTTCCTTCGGCAACCAAGAGCCCTTCGCCCGCCTATCTAAATTACCGCTACGGGGGAGTTGAGCCCGAGGGGTTTGTCCGGCCCCTAGAACTAGTCTCGTTGAAAGGGCCAGCCAAACTCCCCCCGGGCTAGTCTCCCCGTAGCGGTAATTTAGACCCGCGGGCGAAGGGCTCTTGGCTGCCGAAGGAATTTGCTAGCGGTCCGAAACGGATGTAAACATCGCCCTGACCGCGGACAAAACAAGCCGGTGGCGGCCCTCGACTTCAAGAACCACATCCTGGAGAACTTCGGCCTTCTGTAAGTCATTTACGGCTCGAAGAAACCCGTGGCGATAGCTTCTATCTTGGTAAAAACGAGGAGGAAGTGTTTCCACGTTAGTTTGTTGGCCCGCGGTAGCCATGATGATGATGCAGGGGCTGTACCTCACACTGGGACCTCATTTTGGACCGCAACTAGACAGGTCAGTGGGGGCCTCTAGCGGTTCATGTTAAATTTGCAGTCACGGCATGCAGGTGTCGCGAACGGCATTGGGTCCCGGTTTTCCGGTCTCCCCTTTACCATATATGGAATGCAGGTGTTACGGACAACGTAGGATCCCTGTTTTTCGGTCTCCCCTTTACCATATATGGAAACCTTTACCATATATGGAGTTCCTTGCCATATATGGAGCGAAGAGTGACATAACCCGTAGCAGCAGGCTTGGCCTGCAGTAATGACCTTCCGCAGTTAGGCGGCGCTTTTGAGCCGTGAGCTGAAGCCCCATATTTAACCGACAACGGAGGCGGGCAGCATCCGTTGATGGCATGAAAGGATCGAGACTGGACGGCCGACCGGGGGACGCTAGACGGCCCGAGCCCAAAGTTGGCGCCCGGTCCGGCCTCTAAATTTATCTCTTGGGCGATAAGTAATCTTAGGAAGGAGTGTGCCGAGATGGGGACCCGGTAGCGAGCCGTGATATGACGGGGAGCTCTTGTGACGCCGTCAGAGACCGTGATGGAGGACCCGTGAGCATGCCGTGATGGGTGCCCGGTTGACGGGATCAAAAGCGCTGCCCGGGCGCCTGACCCTGAGGCTAGAAAGGACCGTCAAGCCCCAACAGTCGCACAAGAAATGTGGGTCTTGGAATTTGACTGCTTATAATTCTTTATTCCGTGTGCAGGTGTGTAACATACATGTAAGGCTTTGCATGTCATCACTCCCGCCCGTAGCGGTTCATGAGATTGGCGGGCGTAGTGATCTTGGCTACCGAAGGGAAACGGCTCACGGCCCGATACTATTCTGGCTCCTATGGTAGCTTGTCCTGTGCCAAGGACTGAACAATGAATTAAACAACAAACGTTCAGCTTATTCCTACTTGTTATCCGTTTTATTGTTTGTTAACGTCCAGGTTCAGACTATTTTACCAAAGTGAGTGGACCTGCTGTGCGTGTATGAATGGGGCGGTCGGGTTGTGGGTCTGCCTATTTACCGGAATACACCGAAAAACACCGGAAAACACATATAGGAGGCTTAAATCTGCCGGAATACACCCTGCATTGATGAGATACTAGTAACACCCCGAGTTGCTGTATTGTGTATTATGTAGCCCAGGGAACAAGGTATCACTAAATAATGAATCGGCGGAGGCACACCAACTGGTATATTATTCCTTTATTTCAGCCGATTTCTACTATTTTTCCAGCGATCCGCGGTGCCTGGTAGAGGCTACCGATTGGTCACACTGTACAATGTATGGAGGTTGTAACTGTACAGGTGAATCTGAGATTATATGTAGAATGTATTCGTTGTTTCCCCAGGCGACGTTGTGTCCATGATGTGGTACTCGTACATCGAGGGGAACCGCTCGGCGATCTATGACTCCACCTTCCCGTTCGGCCCGGTCCAGTTCCGCCTCGGCAAGGACAGGCACATCGCCGGCTTCGAGAAGGGGGTGGTCGGCATGTGCGAGGGTAAGACGTCATTCAGATTTATTTCAATTTTAAACTGTTTTACCTTACTGGAATCTTAACTTAAAGGATCGTCAGCAGGCCTAGGGTTCCTATATGTACTTAATATTTTAATTATACAATCTTCTTGCATGGTAATTAGTAAATACCAGCATAATTCAGACTTAACAACGTTAAGTCTGCTATTTTGTCAGAGATAGCGACAAAATAATAATAAAAACGCTGCTTATTGAGTAAAAGATCGTGGTAACTGTCTGTAGATTGGCCAAAATTAATACCACGTTGGCCAATCAGCATGAAGCAGTTTTGTCGCATTGGAACACCAATAGATAGATCAGTGGTCATATGCACTGAATTCTGATTGAACATAGGCAATAGCGAAGTGAACCAATCATAGTAGACTAGAAATCTAATGATTATGGAACTTGCTCATTGGTCACACTCACTCACTGTAACTCCCTCACTGGTCACACTGTAACCAATCATTTTTGTGGTTTAGGAGAGGAGCGGACGATTTTCATCCCCTCCGAGGTGGCTTTCCCCGACATGGCGATGCCGCCCACTATAGAGCGACTCCGACGTGCCTGGCCCATCATGCGTTTCGTCAAAGCCAACTTTACCTTCGAGACAATTCTTAGAAAGGTATGGCCAGTTTTTCTTCTGTATACTAAGTACATAAACTACAATGGCATTCTTCTTCTTTTTAGTTGATTAGCGGCCAACTGAGCATCAACATGCTGATGGCTTTGCCGCACTTGGTTGGTTGGTGAGGTATAGACTGGTCTCATGATCGTAGCCCCGCCCACCTTCGGCAAAATTTTGGCAAATGAAAATGTTTGACGAACATGCAGCCACTCCCTCACTGGTCGAACCACTACTTGCCAGGGTGTCATTGCCAACTGTTAATTATGAGGAACAGTCAGAATTGGCTGGTTTATACACATGTAGGACTGTCATGAGCTGTGTTATAGCCTCAAAAGTTCAGAAACATCAGTTCCATGAATGTTATACCGTAGTATAATTTTAGAACCAGTGAAAAACGGTGCCATGATTCCATGCTACTTTATATCATAGTATTGCTTTCGCTAAATAGCGCATACATGTACTTATGCTTAATACCGATCTGCAACCAATTCTTTTCTTTTGGAACCACATTTTTTCTGCAAGTGATCAAGCCAATAAATTATTTTCTTTCTTTTGCTACCCTTTTTTTCTCTGCACGTGATCAAGCCAACCAACCCTTTTCTTTTCCAACCACACTTTTTTTCTGCAGGTGATCAAGCCGACTTGGCAGGAGAAGGCCATGACAGGTGTGTACGTGTTCGCGCCCTTCACCGTGGCGGTCGCCGTCATCTGTTATCTGGTCCTTAAAGTCGCCAAGACGCCGGACGAGAAGAAAGTCCTCAAGGAACAGCGTCTTCAAAAGAAGAAGGGGCAGGGGAAGAAAGTGAAGAAGAATTGACGCGCTATTTTGTGTGTTACGTTGAAGAGTTCAATCAATAGTAACTTTAGGAGACAGGGAAGTAAGCTATACACGTAGCGCCTCCATGCGGCTACTTTAGACACTGCAATATGTTTAAACTTTTGTCAGCCGTTTTGTTATATCTTCTGTATCTGCATGACTATCTGTATCTGTAGAGCCTTTTGCCTTTTGACGTAACACATCAACTTTGCAGGCACGCAGCGCAGTAGCAGCTGGTTATATTACTCTGAGCGACTTGTCACATGCGCCTAATCCATGCACATTGATGAAGATTATGTAACGTTAACACTCTTTTACAAGGCAAATGCAAACTAATGAAGTTCTTGTCACTGAAAATTTAACAACCATATAAAAAAGCACCGATTACCATGTAATTCAGATCAGTTTTGCACTGCAATGTGATTTTGGATGCTTTATGAATAAAGTTTATGAATTCGTGTAGTGAGGTCACTATATTTTTGTGTCATCATTTAGACCTAGCCTATATTCAAGCTACACTTACTACTAGAGCTGTGTACCGGTACGCAGTACCGATACTGTACCGGTAAAATTGATTAGGTACAGGTCCAAAATACCTAATCCCTCAGTACCGGTACTGTACCTAAACAATTTCACACCAATTTTATGCCTATTTGTGACCTCAAATGTGTAAATAGCTGGTTAACAATGGGTCCCTGTGTAAGGACAGTGTGTTCATGAAAACAAAAACATATATATAGCCTATATTTTATCTGAGCATTCACCATAAACAAAGAATAAACCTTAACTATCAAGTTTATTTATGTTTTTTTTTGTTATTGAAGGAGTTCAGAAGAGCATATAAATTGGTCGAATTGTTCAGGTACAGGTTCAGGTCCGGACCTGTACCTAAACCTGTGTACCTGTACCTGTACCTGTACCTAAAATTTGTTTAGGTACACAGCTCTACTTACTACCATTGTCGGTATTTAAAATTGAATTGTCTAGTGATCTATTTCTAGTTTTCTCCGACTAAGGGCACACCAAGTAAATTTTATGGATGACGTCCGCGCGCGCATTGATTTTGGCCTGTTCTTAGAAAAAAAACCAAGAAATTCCGCTTCCTGTAACTATGACCAAAGAGTCACGACAGTGCCGCAAATTGTCAGATTGACGTGAAACTCGTAACGAGAATGGGTAAGAAAGTGTCTATTGACAGGACCATCCTGCAAATATGTGATGAAAGAAACAGGACAGGACGACAACTGCTGTTCCACCTGATTTATTGCTGTTTTGATGATGAATAAAAGACTTCTTGCTTGTTACACTGCGTCACCTCATTCAATTTGTGTCCTAACATTTGTCGTCTCTTAGTATCTTTCTAATCTAGGCATCTTGTTTTTTAGGGCCCTTTTTTTTCGCCCTCTCGCATTAGATTTAGGGTCTCCAAAGGACGTCATCCATAAAATTTACTTGGTGTGGTGGCCTAATAAGAGAAAACGCAATCCAGGCACACAACGTCAATTTTTCATTGCATGTCTAGGCCTAGGATGCCACTCGGCAATTTAGGAAAGAACCGCACCACGCCTAGTGCCTACGTTGATATTTATCGATACGATTTTACATTGGATATCAAATTTTAAGTACAGGCGTCTAGTGTCCAATAAAATAAACGCTGATGATTAACCAGAAGACCTTGGCAAATTTTATATTGATGAAGGAGGTTTAAAATCTAGATATTGATTGGTTAATTATTGTTGCCTGGTGGCAAATCAGCATAAAGTAGTGTTAGGTTGTTGGCCAGAGGAAGTGTTGGGCAGATGCAGTCAAATGACACTGGCTTAACCCCTTGCCTTTTCCTCATATTGAAATTAAGTTCATCAAATGACATGCTAGCTTCGGTTAGGGACGTCCCTCGGATAGGGAGAGCCACACCCCACGCACGTTAAAGAACCCACCACACCTTTCGAAAAAGAGTAGGGGCATGCCCCGGTACAAATTTTACAATCCGGAGTCTTGCCAAGAATTGGCATGCCAGAATGATCAGTATGATGATCGTGGGATTAAACTAAGGAAAGGCAAGACATGGAAGAACAAAGGACCGCCCTGTTCCCGCCAATGTTGCTCTGTTATTGTCCTGCTGTAACAATAATTGCCGCTAGTCGTCGCTGCTAAGCTATTTCCTCCTTCTCACGATCGACAACAGGCAAATGTAACTTAAGATATAATGTTTTACAAGTAATTTGTCTCATAGTTTATACGTATGGGTATAGTATATAGATATAGTATGTTATTTTAAGGTATAAATAATATAACTTTGCTTGGTTCATCATTGGCACAATATCGTCCATAATAACGCGATATGAATGTCTTAGTGCTTGCATGCGGTGTCATTGAAGCATGATTGATTTTCCGGAAAGGTAACATTTTCGTTTCTTATTTTGACCTAAATATCCGCGCTCGAAACGGCAAAAATTGCAAGACAACAAGCAGCCCGAGGCTCATCACCGCCGTAGTTTTGGTGTAGGAGAAACGTCCGACGTATTTCTGGAAGATTCTGTGGGAAAATATGCCGGTGGGCTAGCTCTCTGACCGGACAAAACCGACCCAACGATGGCCGACACAACAACGCCCTCAGCTCCGGACAAAGACGGTAAAATTTCACATTTTCTCTAAACGATAGTCCTGAATATCACACCTATAAACCTCTACATACAGAATTTGACAAAATCTAGCCACTATTGATGTATAGTTTATTTAAGGATGTCGGGATTTTGTATATCTGGGCGGTGTCATATGTTTAAGGGGGTGGGGGGCAGTTAAAATTCTTCTGGATCAAATATTTGCCAAATTGTTTGATCACGAAGTCCGGAAATGTAAAAAAAAAATGGATGTATTAAAGGTATGTATATTAAAGATATATATCTAGAGAGGTATGAAATTTTGTGAAAAGGGTTTTCTTGATAATCAGCTATACTTTTTTTATGTGATTTTGTATATGCTAAGTGATATGTAACATATGATATGTTGACATACACAAAAATATGATTTTGCACCAATACCAGTTACTAGTAGCCAGTCACTTAAGTTTCAATTCTCTAGGAAATTAGATACTAAAACAAAAATCTGACACTCGTTTTAGATATCAAATTACATGTACTATTATGATATATACAGCAAACATACAATCTTTGGTAGATCAACTATCATTTCCAGTTTGTAAAGGAAACTATGTAATAAGGAAGTTCTCCTTTGCAAAGAAAGACGGCTGAACATTCAACAAAAACAGAGTTGTACAAAAAGAAAACAGTGACAACATGTGTAGCAAAATTTAATTTATACTTACTGGCAGTACATTACAGTGTAATCTCTAAAGAAATTCTTCTATTTGATTTATTTGTAGATTCTTCTTTCTCACAATTTTTGCTTTGACCTGAGATTTATCAAATGCTTACTGGAGATTTTGTGTAATAAATTATTGACTACCCAGGGATTGCATGCGATGTTGTTATGGTATACTGTAATACACGTCATGTGATCCATGAATCATATCTAGCCTGGGTGTTTGCCTAGTAAGGTTAAATGGGTTGTAACATAGGAAACTTCAAAGGAAGTGACTATGGTAGCCTAATGCGGCTGCCGTACAGGCTACTCTGTCCAGAACTTTCCTGTCCACAAAATGCTGATTAGACCTTTTGTTGCAAAGTTGTTTATCCTTCTATTCTGGGAAAAACTATGTCACATCCTGCAATATTTCCTAAATGTCATTTCCTGGATACTACATGCTAGGGCCTAGGAAAAAATGTTGTGTTTCCTTTTTCCCAACTGACTCTAGAAAAAACTGTTGACCCTGGTCTTTTTTGTGTGGACCGCTGCAAGGGACATAAATTTTTCCTGCTGATTGACTTTTTCTAGCTCCATGGTCTAACACCTGAGTGATGTAATGTTGTACAATCGGTTTTCCAACATTGACATTGAAAATGTAAGTGTACTCATGTTAAACTAAATGTTAAACTGTGTTGTACTAAATGTTAAACTGTGTTTACTTTGCTAAACCTTTTAATCTCATTTAGACTGAAGGACAAGGATGACGTTTAGAAAGTATAGAATCAAAACAAGATGACAAATTGATGAAAAAGTCCAAGATTTTAATCTGCTGATTCGAATTTTGATTATCGCGTAATTTGTTCTGGATGTACGTGGGGACAGCGTGACTTTTTTGGACCTTCTCGGAAAGCGATACGATATGTCGTGGACCTGCGGAGGTCACACGTACGTGGTTGAACGTAATGAAATTTGGCCTAACACTAACAGAGAGAAATTGGTTTGGTAATTAAATGTGTGGTATGACCTAGCGGTTATACAGGTCACTTTATTGCTTGTTGTGACATTTCATGAACTTTATTCTTCATTTTAATAGACACCATCGTAAAGTTTAAAGCCAATTCCAGCCTAGACTGGTTTTATATACTGTGCACAGGTACATGTATTTTTTTCAAACGTGCTGTATTAAAGTTCAAACCCTGATTTCTTCAGAAAGTACTGTTATAATTTATATGTGTTTGTCATGTGCTATTTTTGCTACAAAACAACTTAAAATATTTTTGCTATACTCTGAAAAGGACTTCATTTTAAACACTGTTAATTTGAAATACCAATTGAGATTTGAAGGTAAAAAATACTAAAATGAAGCAGTTTTCATTGCCAATAGGAAAGAAGAATTATCTCATTATTTTCCTTATAATATATGCATTTTGTCATTTTAAACTCTGTATGTACATGTATATAGAAAGCCACACCCAGGCCAAAGGTCATGATAAACTAAGGTGACCTACAGGATGTTGACACACCCTTATTTACATAAAACATTTCATGGATTCCTGGATTGCTACAAGTATGATTATGGATTGTTCCATCTTAGAAGTTGAGGGGGTGAAACCTTGTTTTATGATATTAAATATGACACAATTTGGCTTATCAATCATTTATGATATACGTAGTATTATTTAGATGCTTTCAAATTCATAGACGGATTAGCAATACCACAGTTAAGAGCAAATTTTAATATTTTACACACCTATGTATGTAATGGACTCACCCATAATTACACCTACAAATTAGAAATTAGCAATTAGAGAGCTTTATATAATATAAAGACAAAGATCCATCAACAGTTATATTTATTGAATTACGTGTACATTAAAAATTTCTAGTCAAACTGAAATCAATATTATGATATATAGTATGAAATGAGGAAAATATTTTATCTATGTCTGTATCTTTAAGAGAATAGCCTTGGGGATAAAGAGTGGTTGGATGGGTTGGTTCAGTAGGTATTTATATACATGTATGTGTTTTGTGGTATAATGATGAAGCAACTTTTGACCTGTGCAGCATTATGACAGCAACAATAATGGGCTGGGTCAAGCCTACTGTAAATAGTGAAGTGACTGTAGTGGTTTAATTTTTATGCATTTGGCATACTATACTATAAAATCATAGCACTATGAGTGTGAAGATGTGTTTTACAGTAAACCTGAAATGTACTATGGAATTGTTTTAATTGCAAGCTTGTCATTGCCATTGTACTACAGTTTTGTTTCAACAGCTAATTTTAAACACTGCAAAAAAACTCCTTTCTTTGTAATGTGAAATTAAATCTCTGCAAAACAAGAGAGTTTACGGTAACGGTTCCTGTATACATGATCTCAAGTGGTGTGATGTGGCCTGATATGAGTCATAATCATAATGTCATCACTATTCAGGTCGTTGACCCAACTGTTTATCTTGTTTGATTAAATCTTCAAACGTGGGTGTCTGCATATGACATGCTTTAAATTAAAGTCTGATATATACTATAGTTGCTTCAGATGTTTGTGAAGCTAGTTTAGACTAAATAGTAATTGAGTCAGAAGTTTGGACCATAATTATAAACATACATGTTGATTATTTTGTACAAAGGTTTGAATTTGAAACTTGTTACTTGAGTCTGACCTGTTTTACCTTTTATTCTAAAAAGATGTTGGCCACACCAATTTAATTAGTTAGGTAGTCCCTTTCATTTTTTTCTGATTTGCAAAAAGAAAAAAACAAATATTTCACATTTTCCAACTCCCAAATGCTCACATTTTGGCCCCAACAGTTGAAGGAAGTACCTTCAGAGTTGTTACAGTTTTTACATCTATCAATACAGTATTGTGATTTAAAGTTTGAAATTCAATGTTTGGATTACAAATCAGCCAGGTATGTTGACTTCTGTAAAAAATCATAGAAGCAACAAATTGAATTGGTGTGGCCTGAGGAAACACTGCCAACAAACCTAGCCCTCGGCCTTACGTGTAGCAAGGCACACGCAGCGATTATCGTAATTACCGCGCCTGATCAGAGACAAGGATGTCGCCAGTCCCTGTCCCAGCCGGTCCTGACTGGTTCTGGACACATCGGCAGAACAATGCTGGGATGGGCCTGGGGAGAGGGAAAATGAGTTATGAATTATACATACAGAGTCAGACAACTGTCATTAGAGGCTGTGGAAGGGTTATAGAATATGTCATTTGTTGTACAAATGTATTTACCACGACAAGTAAAGTGAATTTCTTGTTTTATTCGTTATTGTCAATTCTATGTATTTTGCCACCTATATACTAAGCTGTAAAATTGTATAGCAGGAAATTGAAGGTAGGAAAGGAGGTAACCTTTTCTGGGACCTTTGAGCTAACTTCCTGTCAGCTTCCCTAACATGCAATATTTTGAATCGATTTTTGACTTCCCCTCCCTTGTATAACAAGTTGGTTTAGTCCGTACTGCCTTACTTTAAAACATTGTTGATGGTAACAACATAGCCTGAAGTCTTTTCTTTGTGAGTCATCTTGTTATTACAGTGCAGTTGTTTTGCAGGATTCCATAGTATATGGGGTGATATTTTTAGACAGCTTGTCATTATTGACTATGACATGTGAGGCTAGCCAGAAGGTCTGTATGGGGGACCTGGGAATACTCAAAAGTAAATTTAGTATCGAAGACAGTTCAAGAGTGTCGAAGTTCAAAAGTTCCAGTGTTGTTTAGGTATTCAAAATTTATGTTAACTTGTTTATGGTTTGTATCTTTATTGTTTTGTGTACGTACATTGAAGGACATTGACCTTATGGAATGTACCAATTAAATATAGGGGTGTTAACACTGTTTTTTTTACCTTACAGATAAGTTGGTGAGCAAGCCATCCATCAAGAAAAAGACCAAACCAGCACCATTAGATGTGAGTAAAAAATGTTCTACCATTCAGCTTATTTTGGTACAGCCTGATTTATGTCAAAGAATTTCAGAAGAAATACAATTTATCAAGTTTTGGCTCTTATAATTTTTTAAATATTTTCTCTGGACCAGCGTTAATATTTCTAGTAGAATATAGGATTCAGTTATATTGACATAATGATTAATGAAAATCAATTTTTCATTAATTGACTGTTAAACGCAATGATACTTATCATTTTTTGTTTAGAAAAAATAACGTTACATTGTTCTATGTACTGTAACATAGCTTTAGTGGTCCTAACATTCCAAAATTAATACTACTTTTTCCACAGCAATTTTTTCTTTTCCCACTAAACCTAAAACCTGCCCCCCTTGAGAATTCTATTAAATATATAATAAGACATAAACTAATTTTTATTTCAACTGTTTTCTTTCTGACTACTAGAAGAGAGAAGTGTGAAATCAAGTTCCTCATTGTTTTCACGGTCTGTGAAAATTGTACACAGAGAGAGGTTCTGCATTTTGTGAAGATCAGCTGGAAATTCTCCAATTTCATGCCAAGCCAAGCATACACAACCTGTTCCTGTTTCTCACAGAAATCTGTTGAAGTCTGTGTTATATTTAGGTTTCCTTTTTCCTGTCGTTTATGCCATGTTGAGTTGATTATATGGATGACATCAGAATTTTTACAAAATGTATCTGTTTCCAAAAAAGGTTTTGACCATACTGTAAATTTTTGCAGAGCAGCTGCAAAATAATAAAAAAAGATGCCATAATTCACATAAAATATTGGAAAACTACACTAATGTCGTAAACTGCCAAAGTCCAAAGAAGAGGAAGAAAATGTGAAGAAATGAAAATAAAGAGTCTATTATTCGCCATACCATATTGTTCAATCTTATTTTTATTCGCACGCTTGCGTCAGTTATGGGGTTCCCAGAATATTTTGTGAAAATATGACTAGTTTTCACCACAAAACATGTTCTACTGTAAAGAAATGCTTTCATGGGCAAGTAGTCAGTGTATCATGTCATGCGTAAACATTTTTCTAATTCAATCAAAGAAAAGAATTTGCTTTTCTTGCGAAATGAGTTCTTTCCACATGCCTAGCATTGAACTTTGATTCAACTTTGTTTATATAAGGGGATATTCCATTTAAGAACTTGTGTGGGAGTAAAAAGGAATCTGGATGGTTTATAGTTAATATAAGAAGTCTTTATATTTGAAAAAAATCTTTCAAAATGAAATTTACAAAGAGGTTTTTGACATATTAAAGCAATTATAGCAATAGAAAAGGTTGATAATAATAAGACTGTTCCCTGTATAGAACATGGAACAGTCCGATCATAAATGCACCCCTTTTATTATGAATTCATATGCTGTAAAAACCTGGCCCATCCAAGTAGACAAACCAATTTCTTCCAAATATGGTTGTATGTTTCCGCAGATGACAACAACAGAAGGCAAGGAGGTTGTCGGGGGCGACCAAACGAAACCGCCGGTCACGCCGAAATACACGAGAGAACACAAGATCGGCCACCGCAGGATAAATGAAGACACAGGAGAAACAACCTACAAAAAGGTGAGTAGATTGGGTGTTGTTCATGTTATAACTTCCTCTTTGATTTTTAGGCAGCCACCTTCAACTAGCTGAAAATTCTGCTGCCTTTTTGTGGCTAATACAAGATTGGGTTTGCCAGGCCTCCATCCAGGAAAGTTGTGTTAAGTGCCTTTTCCAAGGGCACAAGATCAGTGACATGGCAAGGTTCGAACCCAGGACCTCTTGGTTCTGAGACGAATGCTCTGTCGTTACGTCACACGATCCCACAACTTTAGATAGGGCTGGGAAAAAATGTTGTGTTTCTGGTTTGCTGGTAAGGCTATAAGATTTTTGATCTGAATCTCAAACCATCTGAATTCTGAAAGGTCATTTATTATTTCCAGCTGCAATTTTTCTTCAGTAAATTAGGTGAAATATTTGTCCACAAGCAAACAGGTGGACAGTACATGGACCAGTTCAGGTTAGGTGCAGGTAGACGTTAGAAATACCTGCACAGCTCCAATTTTACCTGCACTAAGGTGCATATGAACCTAGTATTTCACCCTGCATACATGTATATGTAACACTGTTATTGTATGACTGTAGGAAACTTATTTGGTGAATTTGGCATGTTAAATATGTGCATAATGTTCAAATTGGTACATAGCCAACGTTTCTTGAAAGGAACAGCTTTTAGATAGCACCTAGATACAATTCTATGGCTGGCATAATTGCACCAGTTACTGATGTGCCTATTGCTGAGCTTTTGGCAAATACAATGTAGCTAAAAGGCCAGTTGCTAGACCTGTCTAGCATATGTGTTAGTAGAACAGGTACAGTATGTTCTTTTGGTCAAACTTTGAGGATGAAAATCCATTTAATGTTGTTTGAGAAGTCTTATGAATGTTGACAAACCAATCAGTCAATTATAAACAAAGTCAGGTACGATTGGCAGGAATAATGATTTCATCAATTTGTGGTTACTACCTAACAGGCACTGATGCCACAGGGCACCTATGCCCGTCGAGGCCCCCAGCTTAGGTTATTATTTAAAACCCAACTGCCCTCTACTCTCAGGAAAGGTATCCCTCGTTCAGAACGAAACCTGATACCACTGTGTAAACCTGGGTCTTTGTTAGTCCGTTATTTTTGCCCTCTCCGCACCCCAACATGCAAACAAGGTGTTTTTCTACCTTTCCCCCAGGGCCCTTCCCACACGATTATGGGGGTGTGACTTTGCATAACTCTTTCGGGCTACATTCCTAACGCAACAGAAGCTGACCAGATAAAATCTTGATATAGAAACAATGTTTAAGGTTGTCTGTGAAGATGGTTGATGACAGACCCTACCCCCCTGTGAGGGAATAATGGTTTAGCCCCGCTTGCGCAACAACGGACAACCCCCAGGACAGCCACAATACATGAAAGACAGGTTACTTACAGTACGGCAAGGCTTAGAATTACTGCAGGAAGATTATGCTTTCAAGGACTTGTATCTACCGAGGAGCTTTCAAAGAATGTTACCATGTCTGCGTGGAAAGTGTGGAACTTCGAACTGAGGACGACACGGGATTGTACGCCTGATTTCGGGAACTGTCACGACTCGAATCATGCTGATAGAAATGGCAGCGTTTGGGTCAACCACGTTAGAGAGACGGGTAAGCGATTGATCGTACGAGTTTGATATACGTTTTTCGAGGAATACCTGGTCGCGGGGAAAAAACACAAGCATGTAGTTTTAACTACTAAAGGATAGGGAAAGTAGACGACAATGTCAGAATCTAAACGTGTGTCCTAGACAACAGGTGTTGGTAGAAATGTAGTGATCTAGCGGACGGATATGCATCAAAACAAACCCCACGGCGAGACACAGCAATGCCAATCATTTAAACTATTACAAATATCCATGTGTATTTCCAACACAATTCATGTTTACCTTGTAAAGGTTTGGAAACATTTGTATTTTTGCATTCGTGAAGCGAAACCTAAAAGTGTTGACAGGAATAGGGTAAGAAAGTGGGAGGGGCACGTCTTTGTTTGTCTAACACTTGTCTGAAGCTCTTCTAGGAAAACACACAGAAGGACAAGGGTTATGCATATGTTTTCACTGGCTTAAAATCTTACAATTACTTCCTTAAGACAGCATTCTTATCCCCTAAACAATAGAGAAATGGTAGCAAAACAACTACTTCAGTGTGGTAAGGGTTGAACTAGTTTAAGCAAGGCTTTTTTTTCAAACGTTTGACCGATACGTATGCAATGCCCCCTAATTCAACTCTAAACAGAGGTGACAATTTGCATACATGACAGAGGGACAATTAGCTACATGCAATTTGTCTGTTTCTTCTAAAACCTTCTAATTGTCGTAAAGATTGATAAGATCCTAGAGTTATTGTTATTTTGAAAAAAAACAACAAGTCTTTTTCACAAGAAGACCAAATTTTGGCATAACTTGTATTCGTCTCTTTTTTTTTATATGGCAAATTTCCAAGTAATCATTAGATAAAGGTGACCCAAATTTCTGCCAGTACTTACATGTAGGTACATTTGGCCTGAGGACATTCTTCTAGGGTTGAACAACCTCTGATTACAATCAACTGTAAAGTATAGGTTCCTAAAATATTGAGAACAACGTAGGTTACGGGAGGTCAAGTATAAGGCTAATAAAATATGATTTGGAAATTCTGCTTTTACAGCTTTTCAACAGGATTTGCTGAAAATGGGTAAGACTATTCCATGCCTCACAGAAAAAAAAAATCATGCAAAGAACAAATGGCATTTGGAAATTTTTGTGTTAGTATCAAATAGAAAAAAATTACATGTTTGAAAAGAAGACATTTGAAATGGTCGGATAGCATGTACATGTATTGTTAGGTTGGAGGCCCAGTGTTTGAGGAGAGCCACACCTTGAGCATGTTAAAGATCCCACCACACTTATCGAAAAGACTAGGGGTCCTTCCTGGTTTGAGTAGGTCAAACATTACAGTCTGGTCTTACTCTTACATTGAAAAGATACACTGTACAAAACTGTTGTGATACTGCTAAAGGCAGTTTACTGTTGATGCAAACAAACAAACAAAGATACAGTACTTTATGTCTGTTCCAATTTACATTTGTGAAGCACAACCAACTTGTCCTATATTTCATGCACAGACAGAGGGAAAAACCAGAACGTTGTTTGTCTAAACGTGTTTGAAGAGATTGCTAGCTACCCGAGGTTGTTGACTTGCTGCTCCAATGGACAATACACCCCTTGAAACTTGGAGGACGGGCCCTTTGCTGAGCCAGGATGTTCGCATGTCGTTTGTTTACCAACTAGAGGATCAAAAGGAGGCCAGGCAAGGAGGAACTAGCAAAACTAGTCATGCAAAGTAGAAAGCACTCAGGAGTAGGGTTTCTTAGCTTGTTGCAAGTCTTGGGAAGATGGCTGAAAAGAAAACAAGAAGCTTGGACGATTTAACTTGGCGATCAATGGAACTCGAGTAGTTAAGTCGCAAAGCTACATGCAGGAAGGATTGGACAAGTATTTTTAACCTTTATGATGCTTCCTAACCATAACCAATGCAAATTTGGTGCCAGAAGTCTCTCAAAGTCAAACGGGATAAATTTTTCCTTTCTTTGTGACGTTTGCTTTGAAAAAATGTCAAGACAAAGATTCCCTCTCTGATTTACATGTAATATCAGATACACAGAAAATGTCTTACTTTTTAGAAAAATGTTGCAATTTCCCTTTCTCGATATGCTATGAGATATGATTTTTTCATAGTCATATTGTGCAGAGGTCTATTTCACATTCTTGAAGCCAGGTAAATGGAGCCAATCATGCTATACTACAGACCATCACACTAAATGATAATCATTGATGTAATTAGCGACAAATATTGACTGGTAATGTACAATGTACTGTGGCCATGACCGCAGACTTCAAATGCAAAATGTCATGTCAAAGGAGCAGTTAGGGTTCAAAATGGTACAGCTGTAAATGTATTTTTACTTTCGTGGTGGCCCCAATTTTACCTGCACTAACCTGCATATACCCAGCACATGGACCAGTGCAGGTTAGGTGCAGGTATACATCAGAAAAACCTGCACAGCTTCAATTTTACCTGCACTAACCTATATATGCAGTTGGTATTTCAAGCCCTGCTACACATATAAGTTCCAGATGATTGGCCAAACTTATCTAGATGCCTGTACCTAAACTCATATACCTGTACCTAAAAATTTGTTTATATACACAGCTCCAATGCAAACTGCTAGATTTTAATTTGGCGTTTTGCCCAGATATACCAGTAATTTTTATGGGTCTGTGTGTCCTCTGAATTGATAATGTAGTGTTGTTGCTTCATGAATTATTTAGTGTAGTTGCAGGTACTACCATGCACGGAAGGTCTGTGTTTTATAGTTGGAGCGTTAAAATGAAGTGGACTGTTATATTTCCAGATAATGCAGTAATGTATTTTAAGGTAATTGTTTCTGTCAATCTGCACAAGTTGGAACAACTACAGTTATAGTTGGAAAGTATGGAATGCATTAGACTAGGATTTTAGTGTTTATATGTAAATATATAATTGTTTTTGTATGCTTACATACTAGTATGCTTGCAATTCATTGTATATTATAAGGGTCAACACAATGAAGAAGTTAGACTTAACTTTCTGTATTTATTTTCCAGACAACGTCATCGGCTTTGATGACAGCAATCCAGCTGGGAATCTCACATTCCATAGGAGGCCTGAGTTCCAAACCAGAGAGAGACCTTCTTATCCAGGACTTCTCAGTAGTGGAGAGTGTCTTCTTTCCTGGGTAAGGACTCACCTGTCTTTTTATCTCCTACCAGACTTTTTCCAGGGTACTAACCTAGTATTGCATATACCCAGTACATGGACCAGTGCAGGTTAGGTGCAGGTAGACATCAGAAATACCTGCACAGCTCCAATTTTACCTGCACTAACCTGCATATACCCAGTACATGGACCTGTGCAGGTTAGGTGTATGTAGACATCAGAAATACCTGCACAGCCCCAATTTTACCTGCACTAACCTTCATATGCACCCAGTATTTCGAGCCCTGACAATGTTTTTCAAATTTTTTCCCAGTGAGGGCAGTAACCTGACCCCGGCCCACCGCTGTCCAGACTTCAGATTTAAGACGTACGCTCCCATGGCATTCCGCTTCTTCAGACAACTCTTCGGCATCCAACCAGACGACTTCTTAGTGAGTGTCAGACATTTAGTAATAGTATTCATGGTATCTATATTGTTCTATATATCGCTGTTTACAATTATAACTACACATGTATAAGTCAACTGTATATCATAGAAAGCTTGTCATAGCTAAGAGGTGGTAAGGCGGTATTGTGCCAACAATATAGTTGACACAGAACTTGAAGGTTCTGGGTTCGAATCCCTGGTAGCCTCCAGTGTTGTGCCCTTAGGAAAGGCACTTTGCACCCATGTCCTTACTTTAAAATGAGCTTCAGATACATGTCGGAACGTCTTCTCAGATGGGATGTAAAGTTGGAGGTCTTGTGCCTTAAGAAACCCACACCTCAAGCATTGGAAAAGAGAAGGGGTCCATCTCAGTGTATGTAAACCTTGCGGTCTGGTTAGGACTTATTACACAAAGTGTTGTATGTTGATTCTTTTCCCATTCTTGTTCCCAGATCTCTCTGTGCAGTGAGCCCCTGAGGGAACTCTCCAACCCAGGTGCCAGTGGGTCCCTCTTCTATCTGACTGCAGATGACGAGTTCATTGTTAAAACTGTGCAACACAAAGAGGCAGACTTCTTACAAAAACTACTCCCTGGATATTATATGGTAAGTGGAATTGTTTCGTAATATTGTCCTGTTTTTAAATGCATACAGTGTCCATCCATCTACCATCCATTTATCCATCCATCCATTTATCCATCCATCCATCCATCCATCCATCCATCCATCCATCCATCCATCCATCCATCCATCCATCCATCCATCCATCCATTGCTTTATCACCTAGTTTTAATATTTCTGGCTGCTCTTATATTTTTTAATTGATTTCATGCAAAAGATGTTCAAAAGTACAAGTATTGCATACAGTACAGAGACTGGTTTGTAAGACTTAAAGCAATTAAATTACTCAGCCAATGACAACGCTGTATTTTCATTCATTTCCTAGAACCTAAACCAGAACCCGAGAACTCTGCTGCCCAAGTTTTTTGGCCTGTACTGTTACCAGTCTGGAGGGAAGAACATTCGTCTTGTAGTTATGAACAACCTGCTACCCTCCACCATTAGAATGCACCTCAGATATGACTTGAAGGTAAGAAGTCTATAACTTATGATAATGAATTACATGATAAAGTTTGATACTGTAAATTTTAATCACTCATACATACATAGACCTATTGACTAATGTTACCTCCCTCGAATGAATTTTTATTTGTAAAATATTAATCACAACTGTATTGTTTTACAAGAATGTGTGCTAATTCTTATATTTTATCATTAGGGCTCCACCTACAAAAGAAAGGCTTCTAAAGCAGAGAGACAGAAGCCTAACCCATGTTTTAAGGATCTGGACTTTATGGAAGACCATACAGAGGGAATTCTGCTGGACTCAGACAACTACACTGCAATGATGAAGACTATAGCTAGAGATTGTAGGGTAAGTACATGTACAGTAGTAGCAGTAGCAGTAGCAGCAGCAGCAGTAGTAGTAGCAGTAGCAGCAGTAGTAGTAGTAGTAGCAGTAGCAGCAGTAGTAGTAGTAGTAGCAGCAGTAGCAGCAGTAGTAGTAGTAGTAGTAGCAGCAGTAGCAGCAGTAGTAGTAGTAGTAGCAGCAGCAGCAGTAGTAGTAGTAGTAGTAGCAGCAGTAGCAGCAGTAGTAGTAGTAGCAGTAGCCTCAGCAGCAGCATCAGCAGTAGTAGTAGTAGTAGTAGTAGTAGTAGCTGTAGTAGTAGCTGTAGTACAAAATAATGTAGTAGTTACTGTAGTAGTAGTAGTAGTTTGTAGTAGTAGTAGTAGTAGTTGCTTTTGAAGGTTAATTTGGGTATGCTTTTGAAGGTGAATTCTGTACTTGAATAAATGGAATAATGATCCTCATTTTAACCATGTTTTTTTAGGTTTTAGAGAGCTTCAAAATCATGGACTACAGCTTATTGCTGGGCATCCACAACCTGGACCAAGCAGAGAGAGAAAAAGCTGTAAGTACATTAAAAAAACACACCCTGCCCACCCCAAATTTTGAAGTGCTGTGATCTGAGTGAAGGGACTAGCCCATAATTAAAGGAGGGATTACTGTAGAAGAAAAGGATTTATGTATTTCAGATACATTAGACATGATGTAAGATAAGAGTTTAGAAGTGCCCAGTCAATATCAAATTTGTATAGGAAGAACAGAGAAGGTAGGTGTCATTTAAAACTAACAGAAATTGATACAAGAATGAACTAGTATATACTGTAAATATGACATTTAAACTGTTTACCAGCGAAACTGTTTAAATCCCTGTTGCTGTGTTTTTCTATTGATTGTTGCCTTGTTGATTGAGTTATATGCAATACTGTAGTTGAATTAACAGTGATGGTAGTTTTTGCCGCTGTTGTCTTTGCATGTTTTGCCATGTGTGGTTTGTTTTTATGTTATGCATGCATAAAATTTGCATTTTGTTGGTGACCACATCAGTTGTACTACTTGGTTTTTCACTTCACACGTCTTCTAAATTAAACTCTTCTTCCTCAATTATAGCATTTGCTAATTAACTTGCCAGTGTGTGCACAAAAATTTTTGGCAACACCTACGGGTTGGATCCTTTAAAACATCAACACTGCAACAAAGATCACTTTATGTTGTCAAATTTGTTTATCTTTGATTTAAGACCAACTTTATTGCTAGTATCCAAGAACCAACTAGTACAGTGGATGTAGCACAAGCAAGCTTAATGTTTCTGCTGTTCTTTGTTCCTGTCCCTGTTTAGCTGTGTTTCGTTCTGTCTTTCCTACTTTCCCTTGTTTCTGCCATACGTTCAGTGTGTGCATGTATTTTCTGAGGTTTGCAATTATGGCATATAGTTGTTTTTTTTTAATGTTTACTTGTTGCGTATAAAATGAGGCAAGTTTAACTTTGACAAGGTTTTTCTTTTACCTTCCAGAAGAGCATAATGTTGCTTTCTGATTTGTTTTTTTTAAGTCATTTAAAAAAAAGTTTCATTGTATGGTATGGTTGTTGGTTTATTTTTTAGTCTATTTGATTTACTAAGCAGCAGGAACTTTTCAATAAAGTTTTCCAATATTGATATCATGAAGGAGTTCTAAAAAAAAAGTAAAAATTTAATCATGATTCAGGTTGCTTCTTACCTTTCCAGCTGTTGTACGTAGGATTAAAAATGAAAATAGATTAAAAAAGCAAACATTTCCGGTGCTCACTGTGACTAGCCAGGTTTTGTTCAAACCTAAACTGAAGTTTGTGGAAGTTTGATGTAAAAAAATTTACTGAATTGGTTTAACCAAAGCTGAAGTACAGTACAGCAGTATATATCTACTGAATAACTTACTTAGAGTGAGAGATTGGTGCCATGAAGATTTGCATGACCTCTGACCTCTTCTCTGTGCTGTTCTGACTTCTCTCATCCCTCCCTCTCCTTCCCTGCTTCCTCGCTAGTCTGGATTGGAAGGTGCGGAGGCGGCCGACCCTTACTTGTTCGCCACTCCTATCCCGCAGCAGGCTACCCCATTGGTTGGTTCCGCAGCGTCGCCCAGTGGTGAGTCGGAAGGAGCCTCCGTGTCAGAGGACAGAGGTCAGGAGTCAGAAAACACAGGTAGGTCAAAGGTTGGGGTCAAGAGTTAAGCATGGTCAGAGTTGCAGGTAACATTGCCAGCTGAGGTGATGATATGACCCGTAGGAATTTTGGGGTCTTTGAGGCCAAAGTTCAAGGTGCAGTGGGTCAAAGTTCAAGGTGCAGTGGGTCAAATCTGAGCTGCAGTGCATGGTTTGCTGGCATCAGGTGTATGTGGAGGTTAAGGTTCAAAGGTTGGAGGTCAAAGGTAGTCCAGGTGGAGGTCAGGAAATCTGGGAAAGCCTGGAAAACTGAAGCCTGTTGTACTATTAGGTGCAATATCATCAAACCAAATTGCTGAGCAGAATAGGGGCTTGCAAGACGCACAAAATGGGGACTGGAGATATTACGATTCTTCTGATGGGGAATCATGGGGCGATTCAACTGATGATGAAGGTGGGTCAAAGGTCAAAGGCAATGACTTGTAAGGCAGAAGATTATGTTTTTTTTTTGTCAGAACACTGAGCTGCTCTAGAAAGAGCGAAATGTCTCTGTTTCACATCCAACTTATGTCAGTAGTGATATTCTTGCTCAGTTGTTCTGGTGGCCACAAAGACATACCTGTATAACTATAACACAATGCAGTTGGACTCAAATGAAACGCAGCTCAGTGAGCTTAACCTTCTCCCAACCAAACTGCATTTGGTACTTCAGGCTGGTAGAATACATGTAACGTGTTACTAGAAAGGGATGATCAACCTGTTATTCCTATGATTGATCTGTGGAGGTTTCAACATGTAACGGTAATTCTTCTGTTAATGTAGCAACTATAACTTCACTAGGTCTGATTTTGTTGATGATTCTGAACTATCAGAGATGTTGAAATGTATTACATTTAACAACTTTTACCCTGTACCTTCCTTGTAACCAATATCGGTAGTGATTGGTAGTCAATGGGCTACTTAATTGTGCTAAAGGCTAAACAACTAAACTACAAAATAGAGGTTCTGTTACCAAGTAGTTCAAGCTCTTCTCCAGTCATAAGTTAAGAAAATGTTTTTGCCATGTAATGGTTTATTGAGAGGTGCTGACTCTGTGAGTAGTATATGTCGCTACATGTCAGACATTTTTGTTGCTGCATGGAGGGGATAGATAGATTGTCAGGAATCTGTATCTGTATCAGTATAGCCAGTATGACCGCCCTTTGGCACAACACACCAGCTTAATCTGTGAGTAGTACATGTTGATACATGTGAGAGACATTTTTGTGGCTGCAGGGAGGGGGAAGATGGATCGCCAGAAGTCCCTGTACAGACATAAACTTACCCACACTGCAATGGAGTCCATCCAGGGCGAGTACAAGGCACCGCCAGTAGAACCTGCCGACTATCATCACCTGACAGAAAACACGTAAGTTGCCATGGCAACCATCGCAAAGGGCTCCCAAAATGAGAAAAGTGTAGAAAATGTGAAAATAATTTTGGGGAAAAAGCATCAAATGTTAGAGTGAGTTAGTTTGATTTTAATGTCTGATACATTTGCTCAGAAATATCTTTTCACAGTTTGAGGCCCTTTGAGATGTGGAGGGATATGCAAATTCAGTTGCCTGGTTCTGGAGGTGATATTTATGAAAATGAGCAAACTTGAAAGAACATGATCACACTTCAAATGTTCCTACATTATAACCAATACAAAATCACAATTTTCATACCTCTGGTACGCTCTGGAACTGGTTGATATTTAATTTCATACTTCGTGTACAAGCAAGTAAAGAAAATATGTCCAGTATAATAACCAATATATGGTATGACAAAGATGTGGAAACTATTATGTATTGTCTAGTATTGCATTAGGTAGGCTGAATTCAAGCCCCTAACATTGTAATACCAAACCGGTAATGTTAGCCACTACAGTTTGGACCACAGGACCCTACTTGTAGCTTGTGAGAAACAATAGAGCAAGAATAGAAACTGGCAGAACCATCAATTTTCAGTGTTTCCCTTTGAAGTTGCCCAGCACTCAACAGTTCCCCTGCACAATGTAAATTACCCTCCCCACTGAGCAATTTGATTTCTTCCCAATTAACACATTCAAGTGTAAGTATGCAGAAAGTGGCTATTGTGAAGTTCTTTGCATTGTTTGATTCTATCCTAACACTCTCATACCTTTGTTATTGAATATTGTAAATGATTGATGTTGATGATATTGATTGATTAATTTGACCTTTTGTGTTCTCCTCAATGAGTGACCTGCTGAGTTTTTTTGGCGTTGCCTCCGGGGCGGAGCCATTTACATTTGTACTGTGTTCTGTTTGGTTTGTGGTTTGATGTTGGTGCTTTGTTTCCATGTAGTACGCAGTTAGAGGTCTTCTGGAGTTTGCAAGATGACAGCATGTAAGCCACGCAGTTTGCCGTGCCCGCACGAATATGTGTTCCCATCCTCCCACCATATCTTTTTCCTTCACCTCTCCCTGTACTACTTTTTCTGCATGCACTTGGTACATACCAGTAGTGTAGTCTAACACACCACCATGCTTTTTTCTCCCTACCGGCAATTATGTAAAAGCAGTGGGAAAGCATGTATCTGCAGTACCTACCATGGAGGCCAGGGGGCATGTTTGCACAGGCAACAGTTTCATGCAACTATTTTGTATCTTCAAAAGGTGGCATCTTGATAAAAGCTTTCTGAAATCCCCAATTTAAATACCTCTGGTTTCCATGGTGATGTCCATCTCAATAACAATGGTTCTTTTGGTTTCTTTTCCTGTTCCCCTTTAAGTCAAAACAAATTGAAAATTCAAGCTAAAAATGCAAGGTGTTCAAGAAATGATAAAAATGACATTTCAAAGACTCCTCCCAAAAAGAGCCGATTCCTACAAAAGAAAGTGAACAAGAAGGATCTTGATTTATTAAGGTGGACAAAATGAGCCAAAATCTGGTGAAGCAAGTAGTAGAGACTGTAGTTAATGCATGGTAGGATTGGTCTCCAGGGAAACCAGGACCCCTAGCCAATCAGGTACTGTATTAGATTTTAGTAGTAGAACCAATGAGAGCTGCTTTTATTGATTGCTTTTAGAAATGATGGCAGTCCCTGGTTTTCCAGCCTTAGGTTGAATGTGAGAGACATTGGAATTCTGATCTGTTTTTCAAAGAATACTTGACAATTGACATGTATGTGGGACAAGACCTTGTTATTCCACCAAACAAATACAATATACATGTATGTCATCTTACAGACTTTTACAGACTGAATAAAAGAACCAAATGCTTCTGAATATGTTTTACTGTCTGCCTATCATTTCTGAAAGTCACATCAAAATTAAAGTGTTAACATGGAAATGAATTTTGTGTATTTTTCTTGTCTTTCCTTCATAGATGGGGAGGTATTCCTGCCAAGAATGTGAAAGGAGACAGGCTACTACTTTTCTTGGGTATCATAGACATTCTGCAGTGTTACAAGTAAGTGTTTTCAGAAAATATTTTGAATTGTTATGAAGGTTGAAATCAAAACAACATCATGACAACACAATGATACCATGTTACATCACACATAGCTGTACTTGGTGCTAAATGACCCTCACAAATAGCTGTCCTTGGTGCTGAATGACACACACATAGCTGTCCTTGGTGCTGAATGACACACACACATAGCTGTCCTTGGTGCTGAATGACACTCACACATAGCTGTCCTTGGAGCTGATTATGTTCTATTAATTTTGCCCCTGCAGGTTGAAAAAGAAGCTGGAACACAGGTTCAAAGCGTTTGTCCACGATGGTGACACAGTATCCGTCTGCAGGCCAGCCTTCTACGCCTCGCGATTCCAGAACTTTTTCTGTCAGACTGTTTTTAGAAAAATTCGTAAGTAGTGCTCGGAAAAAAAGTTGCTCTGAGGGGAAAAGGTTTGTTTAAAAACTAAAGCTTGCTGTAATAAGCTGGTTCATAGTTTCAACAGTGTTATGCATTGTTGATAATAGTAGTATGTTAATCTTGAAGGTCACTGAAACTAGCAAAACATGTCTGGCTACAGATGTGTACAGGCAAGAATTCTTCACCTTTGACCGTATCGTGCACAATTGAAACTATGAACCAGCTTATTTTGATGTACAAAATTAATGTTTTGATGACATCTGTATCATGTGCATGACTGTACAGTATGTACTACACATCTACATTTAACAAGGTGATGGCTTTGGCATTATTTTGAGGTTTGGTGTTGATTCAGGTGCACATTTTGAGGTTTGTACATGTCATGGAATTCCAGAAAATAATTTTCCTGTGTTCGTCAAGTTTTGCCATAAGTCTCAGGTGCAAGAACCGCCTGTATACGAAATGTTGACATCAATCTCTGGAATTCTAAATTGCCTGAGTCTATGTACAAACCCTTCACACATAAGCCACAGAAGGTGGTGGGCATCCACAGAAATTCCACAAAAAAATGTTCGGAAAAGACCTAACCGGAGACCGTCACTTTTTCTTCCTTCCAGAGTCTGCACCTCGGGGAAGTTTAGCGACCCAAACCGTAATCTTTCCTCCCCCTACAGCGCTGAAGCATTCCCCGTCCAAGAAGAAGGGCGCGGTCGGGCCAGCAGGCATTCTGGGAAGGCCGCGGTCGGCGACAGGTACCTCCGTGGATAGGGACGACGATTTCTCGGCTGGAGCCACGAGTTTACCAGCACTGGAGGAGGTCAAAAGTAAGCCACCAATAGCATATGTAGCTTTCTTGGTTGACCTTTATAATTTTTGCTGCATTTCAGTAGATAGATGGAAGAATATTTTGTAGCTGATAGCTGTGAATGGACTACCCAAGGCTTTAGACTAGAACTTAATTATGATGTACAAAGTCAACATGTACTTGCATTGCTTAGATTTATCCTTTTGTTAGTACTGTGGACTGTTTCTTGTTACATACAATACTCTAGCTGTCCTTCAAAGATCTGTTGTGCATTAGTTATGCTTCCTCTAGATGTCACCTGTTGTATTGGTACGTACTGGTTCTTAGAGATTCATATTTTGGGGCAGGACCTAATCATTTTTTGCAATACTGTACTGGTACGCAGCCCTACATGCAGTTCATGTACACGTAGGTATGCTCTGTGTTCACAGTCTAAAGTTTGTTGCAATGTATGCTTATTTATGTTTTGTGTGATGTTTACTAATCCAGGCAGACCAGACATCGTTCCCAGCACACCGCCCTCCTTTGACGATGTTGCGTCCACACCAACATCTATAGAAACCCCGTCAACCATGTCACCAGCACTCTCAGAGGCCTCTCCAAGAAAACAGTACGTTCTTCTGCAGTTTATTTTGGCTCTGCTTCGAGGTCCAGGGCTCTAGCCAGCACGCATTTTTCCATCAATTGCCGGAACTTTGCGGTGTGTGTCAACCGATAGATGAACCTTGAAGGACATAGTAAAAAAAAAACTTGTGTAGAATTGTAAAAGGAAGGACCACTGACAACAACTCTCAACCCCATGATTTGCCTCTCAAAGTGCAAGAAATTGCATTTTTGAAGGCTTCAAAATCCACAATTTTGGGTAAGCATGCAGAAGGCTGACCGGAAAAAATTTCAAACTGGCTAGAACCTTGCGATGGCCCTTACGAATATGTTACAGAATTATAGCAGCTACAGTACTAACCTAAAATGCTGCAAAAAAACTCCTTTTTTCTACTATAATGAAGTTAAATCACTGCAATAAATACATGTATATGAATTCACAGTAGAATGTACCAGAAGAGTTTTGCTATTGAATCATCAATATAACCTTATGGAATTCACCAATCATTCACCAACCTGATGAAATTATTTACGGATGTGTTTTTTTTTCCGTAGTACGTCGTCCACCTCCACACTTCCCATTAGAACAGTAGAAGTGGAGATCACCTCCGAGGGGTCGGAAGCAGCGGCTAAGTCTGAATCAACCGCCTCTGCCTCCAGAAGAGATAGGTAGGGTGTGGAGAGGAAATTTTGGTAACACCTCGTAGGTGGAGCAATACAAAGTTCGCAGTCTGAGAAAATAGACATACAGTATTTTGCAGAACTATACGTTTGCGGTGGCGGCGGTCGCAGCAAAAGAAAGCGAATGATTTGTTCACGGAAATGATAAGTTAGTGCTACAGAAGTGATTGCGTAAACCGTGATTATAAAAGTATTGTGAAAAAATTGTGATTTACAGCTTTTTAGTAGAAACTGAGTGCCCAGGTATTTTAAAAGGTAAGTCGTTTTCAGTCAAAAAGCCTCCGTTTGTAACTCGTTTCTCAACGTAATCTTTTGTTTTATTCCTGCAGACAAAATTTGAGTGTTTCGTCAGAACCGTCATCATCGCTTCACCCGAGCACGTTGTCGAGCGAATCGACGCTGGCAGACGTAGACACTGACGACATCACCATAACAGAGATAGTAAGTACTGTGTGAGCCCAGCGGGACATGTGGCACGCAACCCAGCCCTACAAAATACTCCTTTTGCACCTGCACTACAGCTGTGCAAGTCTGTCAGAATTTCACCTGCAACGCACCTGTACAAGCATCTAAAAATTTGCATGATTTAAGAAAATTTTTTGGGACTCAAGAAAAAAATGCCAGATTTCTTCATACTTGCACAGTTGTAAGCTTTCAGCAGAGTCATCTTCCCCTGGAGAAATACAGCTTGCACAATCATACATTTGTATCTATACATACAGCAAATTCTCAAGTCTTGTAGAGAGCACTGAGCATCAAGGACTGGGGTAACATTGGTGAGATACGGCTGTAATAGATATTTCGGTGGCAAGGCTGGTATCCTTTCCTTCCTACTGTTACATGAAGGGCAAAACAATAGACTAAACAATCAAGTAAATCAATAGTGAATGCCCAATTTTTTTACAAAGTGCATATGAAAGTGTTCAGTAGCATCTCACCATTGCTATCTCGTGGATGGTATCTGCCTACTAAAAGACTGTTGAGTGAGTCACAAAAGTCAGTCATAATTGTTAGATAATCAAAAAGAACAACACTTTGTTGTAGCTAAATTTGTCTGCATGCAAATCTTGTTTTGTACCCAGTTTTTGTCTTACATGTATATTATTATGTTACCTGGAAACCAGGATGTTAAAGCATTGTGTATTGGTATTGTGTATATTTTGTGCCTAAACTAGAAGCTGAAGCCACATTTACTTACCAATTCTGTGGTATGGTGGTTTTGTGATCCCACTGTATGACACCATGTATAGGTATCATTCTCAATACATTTTGTCTCCATGTTTTATGTGGAGGGCAAAATGTAGTACATTTGTACATGTATATAATTATATTCCCAGGCATAATGTATATTTCTTCACAGTGTCAGGGAATTTGCTTGTAGTGTTATCAAGTACATGTATTTGCACATTAAAATCTTGCTCTTAAAGATGGACTATAGGAGTTTTGATCCCTCAAAATATTTTACATTGAATACTTTGCAAGTAAACAATGCCATTTATCAATGCTGACAGCAGCAATATGATGTTAAGAATAAATCAAAGTGATCTATGATTCTGTCATTCTCTTTCAACCAACCAACCAATCAATCAATCAAAGCCTTTACCTTGTTTCGATGGCTTGTTCAGCCATGTGGCCACTTCAACATGGCTTGAGTGGAGGGGGGGAGGGAGGTCACTGAATGATCCAAATCGATTTCTAGCGGCAACTGATATTAAACATAATTGTAAAGCTGCACCATGTACTACTATTATGAATGAAAAGAAACTTCATAGTCCATCTTTGAATCCCACAATTTTGCACCATAGGCCTGGCTGTGACATCATCATTAATCGGAAATTATCATGTTACACATTAGAAACTTCTCAACTTTGCATTTTCATCTTCAAGTACTCAAGCTGATTTGCATATTTGGGATAATATGTCTGATTTGCATATTAAGGATGTAATGATGTCATGACAAGCCTATGACACCAGTCCTCATCTGTCACCATACGTTACTGTAACCAAGACTAAATAATTACTGTAACATTTCAAATCATTGTACCATTAAAAAGTATGGCTGGTGCAGTAGTAACACGGTGTGCATCATTTTTAGTTTGCTGCTCCTCTACACAGAAATCCTCATCATATTTGCAAACCCCCAGCTTTGTTTGAGATAATAATAATACATGTGTAGGTAATGCATTCTAACAAAGAATACCACATCCATGAATAAACATACCACAACCCCCACTTTCATGTAAGATACACTTTTTACAATATTTCCAAAATTGTCAATACATTCTGTTTTTTTAACATGTTCCTTCCAAATCGCACCAGGCTTAAAAAGCAGAACATTGATAAACTCTCAACTCTGTTAATAACTTATTAACATCATTTCACCTTTTTGTCATTTTTAGCTATTCTAACTTCATCTTCTCTTTCAGCTTAACACTGCTTAGACTTTATCATTAACATTTCATTTTTCTTCATGTCTTTGCATTTCAGTTCAAACTCCTAAGTTATATTCATGCCATTACTGTGGGAAAGAAGGGTGTGTCTTTCTTTCTTTCCTACAGTCCATTTTCATAACGTAAATTTCAGCGTATTTCTTCGTTGACCCTTTTTTATGTTCATGTTTTATTCCAACCCCTCAGCTTGACTCCTTCCCTTACCCACCACCCGACTCCCATAGTCTGCGAGGTGCACAAAGCCGCCAGCTAGTCGGTCGTCCGGCTCCCAGGGGCATTAGCCTACCAGGCAGGGGATCGTTAATAAGTTCTGTTTACCACTCAACTCAAGTTTAGATAAACCAGGAGGTTCTCTCTCTAATTTTCTTTGAAAGGCAGAATATTTTCTTTGAAGACGGCAGTGCCATTTTGTCTGTATCAGATAAAAGATGTCACATCTGAGTTGAAGTAACTGTCTTGAATGAAAAGTAAAATAAACTGGTTCATGGTTCCAACTGATTTTACCCCCCTGGTGCTATGCATCCTGGGAATAGGAAAAAAGGTGCAGCGAATTGTGGGTAATGTGTCAAAGGTGAAACCCTTGAAACAGTTCTTGAATCTGGACCATGCTTGATACATGTCCAGATGTGTTTTGTTCATGTCTTGGTTCTTCAATGTCAACCTTTATTTTATTACCACACAAGGAACCATGCACAATCAATCATGCACAGTTGGAACAATAAACCTGCCTATAATCAGAAGCTTATTACATTGAATCTGTCCTCAAAAGCTTTGTGAAATTGAGTAGTGCTGTATCTACCTGTCCTCAAAGCTGTCCTCAAAGTCCTGAAACTACAAGGCGAATCATAAGAACAAATCATTCAAAATCAAACTCTGCTCGATAATACTTGATTATTGTGCACCTCGTGATTATGAGATTGATTCCTGATATTCCCTGTCTTTCCCTTTCAATGTTCTGATTTTTCATAAATTCATGCATTTTTCTTCTTGTTTATTTCACAAGCATACCTGAGAACAAGAATGGGCTGACAAGGTCTTCATCCATTTTTTCCATCATCTAATAAATTGCAACATATTTCTTCCTGTGTGCTATTCTATAGCTAGTTAAGATGATTAATTTGCTTGCCTGTTGTTTCTCATACCTGTACACCCCCATTTTGAAATGGAAGTGTCCCAAGTGTGTAAATCCAGAAATTGGGATATTCCACTGTTTCCTAGGGTGTGTGCAGTGGTATATTTTCCTGCCTCCTCCCTGTGCTAATTCCTTGTTCTTCCTTCTTTCTGTCTTTTTGCAGTGAGTGCAAGCATCGTTTTGCTGCGTTCAGAGTTACATGTTTAGGAAGAGAAGGAATCATGGTCCTTTGCTTTTTCAGATTATGACACCACTCTTATATAATGGAATCTCCCAACAAGAACTGTAACTGTTAATACATGCCCTAAGTTATTTGTCATCTGTTTAAATCATTTTGTGTTCATACAATAGGCTGCTCATCACATTGGACATACAACTGTCCAATCCACCTTGAAAAAACAGTTTATCCATAGTCAGCTTATTTACTTCCTTCTGCATATATAATAGAAAAACACAATGGAACATGGCAGAATGAAATGAAATTCTGTTTACAAAAACCACAAATACAACGGTTTCATAAGTTAACATTTGAGAACACAATTGTTGGGTCGGCACTATCAGAAACAACACTGGTTGGGTATCTGAGACCATAACAGAAGAAGTAAGAAGGTTTAGAAAAAAGTTCTGTTCCATATAACATAGGTTGATTATTTTTGTCCAATATTTTCTGTGTTTAGAAAGCCAACAAGAGGGACCCGTCAGTTGAGCTTACACCTGATGTGCTTTATTTCTTACGCCATGGTTCTGAGGTTCTTTTCTTTCCTTTCATCTTTCCTTCATTTCTTCTGCTCATCCTTTTGCTTGCATCAACTGTTGTTGCTTTCTTGTTGCTTTAAAGACATAAGTCTCAACTTTCCTAAATTGTGTATTTGACAACATATTACAACATTGCTTAGACGCTAAGTTCTACACACTGTGCCAATATTTGCTTTTGGGTGAAGGATTTTGCTCAAGTGATACTAGTGCTGGATGAACAAGGAAAAGTTGTGGGATTGAATCATTGAAATTTTATTTCAAATGTTAACTTTCAAATGCATCCTACTTGATTCTTCTGTCTGTTGATTGGCCAATTTGAATTATAACTGTTAAGTGCCAACCAATGACTACTGGGGAATGTTTTGAAAATAAGCAAAGAAGATAGACATGGATTTACATCTGTTAGTGTGTTGGCCTGTTTCCCCTACATTGTATATTCTTTCTTGAAATCCAGAACCTTCTTTATAACTGTTTCTTGTAACTAACATCTTGGCTTGTGCTTTGCATGCTGCTTGGCTTGCTTATTATCATCATATCCCTAATGTCCATGTATGCATGTTTGCAACCTTTGTTTTATGATTTCTAATTGAATGCTGGTCACATGATTTCTAGCCAATCACTTGGCAACACTAGTGATCATGTGATCTACATCAGCCAATCAAAAGGGCAAAATGTAGACCCAATCTGATCTTGTTGCATGTTTCTCATATTACAGCATAATCTTGATCATGTCAATCATCTTCAAAGATAATTAATTTTTGTTTCATTTCTTCCTTCTCTTTGTCCCATCTTCTTCCCTCCTTGCTTCTCTCACTCCCTCCTTTCAGACCTACTTGTAACGGATTGAAGAAATGGGAAAATGGCTTCGACGTCCATGTAAGCAATGTGTAACTTCCTCACCATGTACAGTTGTATAACACTTCAACACTTAATACCAATAGACCGATCTCATAGCTCTGCCCACCTCCTCCAAAACATACATGTAAGAAAGCACAAAAATGCAAATATGTGACAGACATGCAGCAGCCATGCTCTCATTGGTCGAATCCCTAACTGCAATGCTGTCATTGGTCGAGCTGCTAATTGTGATGGACAGTAAGGATCGGTCTATTGGTTGTGGCTTAGCAATATTAACTATGTTGTAACTAGGACGTCTCTGAATGCGATTTAATAACTTTGCTATTGTAAAACTTCCACCTTCTATTTTTAAGGTCCCATATTGGGACACCATGTGAGATATGCAAAAAAGGCATCAATGCTCAAGTACTAGCATAGAACTATCTACGTTGCTCGTACACATGTAAGGCCACACCAATTTAATTTGTTGGTTCTCGGATTCGCCTCTTCATTTTTTCCTGATTTGCAAAAAAAATAAAAAATTACAGAATCACCTGCAAAATGCTCATATTTTGCCCTGAACAGTTGAAAACAGTCCTTTTCTTCCTAGTTGTTACAGTTATTCCATCTTTCAATGCAGTAGTATCATTAGAAGTTCAAAAATTCATTGTTTAAATTTTTAACCTGCCGGGTGTGTTGACTTCATACCTCCTATCGTAGCATTTGGGGCTATAATAGGATGCCTAGATCTGTTTTTATTTTTATTTTTTTTTCGCCCTGTCGCTTCATATTTTTCCTGAAAAAATCCGAGAACCAACAAATTAAATTGGTGTGGCCTAAGGTTGGATTCACAATGGTTTCAGAATAGAAAATTTTATGTACTAAGAAATCAAACTATGACAATTCCCCTCAACACAGCAAACTAACATATGCACACATATTGTATGAATATATAAAAACTTAGACTATTTTTGGCAAGGCCTTGGGCAGAATTATGTAATCCACATATAGTCATGGAAGTACAGTGTAGGGAGTTTACAATGAAAACAGAGCTATTGCAGCAGCAGACATCACATAATGCATTAAACTTTGAATTTTGCATACTTTTGTTATATATGAATAGTGCTAGATCATAGTTATTGTTGGGTTATAGAAACTTGCTAAGCACTGTACATGTACATGTCTTTACATAAGCAGATGTTTTATATGTTTTTCAAGTGCTTTGGAATTCCAGAGATTTGATAATAAACATCTGTGGACTACTGGTACATGTATTTCAACCTTCAGACGTAGCAAGATTATGCTTTAAAACAAATCTTGGAAGGAAATCATCACCAACTTTCGAAACTGTGTATCTTGAAAATGCAAAACAATTTCTTCTAACTTATCAGAAAAATTATCATCCCTTGGAAGAGTGGCAAGAATTTTGCTCAACTTTCTCTCCAAGTTTTCTCCAGAATCTGCACTTGAATTTTGGAAAAACATTAGAATAAATCTGGAAAACTAAGAACGATTAGTTACCCCTACATTTATGTGTGCAAACTTTGAGAAAGGGCACGTAGATTTACATACATTTTCTTTCTGCCTTTTGATTTTGATACAGAAGTATAATGGAACAGTCCAAATCATCACGGGGTAGAACAGGTCTGTACCATTTGATCTGGAGGGGTAGCTAGCTTTAATATTTGTACATTTGTATCATTCATTCCACTTGTTTGCTAGTAAATTGTGAGACAAGTATATGTAGATACATCTGTGAACTATGAGTGATTCTTACATGTGCTTTTGTCAAGAAACAAGTTGTATAAAAAAAACTAAGACGAAAACTCTTTCCAACTTGCAATACTTGTGTGCTACATACTTTGTAGGTAATTCAATGTGTAGCTTATGTTCTGTGATGCTGTATTATCATTTTATGTCAAAAAATATGTATTTGTAAACTGCACTCTGCAATGCTGTCCACCCCTGCTGGTTAAATTGTACCCGTCTGTAGTTAAATGTACTGTCATGTTGAGCGGGACGGTGCCATTTTTTGACAGGGGTGGGTAGGTTGGTAAGTGCAGTGTTACTGTGATCTGTGAACTGTTGTCAAAGCGTGACTTTGTGAGAAATATGTGAAATCCACGCTTATATATATTGTGGTGTACAAGGGGGAATGGGGTGGATTAAAAAGACATGAAAATAGCATGGACTCTCTTGCATGGTTCATACATACATGTTGTTTGTAGTCATCTGACTGTTTCATACATCTGAAGGCTTTTTAAATTTTTCTCCTGAAAATACTGTTCTCGATTCATCCTTGTAAATAAGGAATGCCAAAGAAAGTAAATTTTTGTGGTTGGGGAAAGTGAGAAGCATTCTGACAACAGATACATGTCGTGAAAGTTGTACAATACCTGATGATATGAATAATTTGAGCTTTTTGCAGGTACTAGGTTACAACGAAATCCTGATTTGAGTTCATTAGTAATTCAACAAGTTAGTATTGCAACAGTTGATTTTAAGTTGATTAGTTGAAACTATCACTCAGCTAGACGTGATATGCAGCATTTAGCTTTAATTTTTGTGAAGAATCATTCTGTAAAAGGGAGAGCACAATTTGTTAAAGTATGGCCAAAGTTTGGTGGTGGTTTGTATTCCAACATAAAGACTGGCAATAGAGAGAAGACAGTGTTGAGAAAGTTTGTGCCCGGTAAGATAAAGGGACTTTTTTATTATATAGACTAAGGCCACACCAATTTAATTCCTTGGTTAACGGATTCGCTGCTTCATTTTTTTCTGATTTGCAAATAAAAATAAAAATTCAGAATCAACTGCAAAATGCTCATATTTTGCCCTGAACAGTTGAAAACAGTCGTTTTCTTACTACTTGTTACAGTCATTCCATATTTCAATGCAGTGGTATCATTAAAATTTCAAAATTCATTGTTTAAATTTTGAACCAGCCTGGCCGTGTTAACTTGATATCGTACCATTTTGGGCCATAATAGGGTGCCTAGGCCTGTTTTTATTTTTATTGTTTTTTCGCCCGCCCGCTCCATTATTTTTCTAGAAAAATCCGTTAACCAAGAAATTAGATTGGTGTGGCCTAAAGGGACTTTTTATTATATAGACTAATAGAGGAAGGAATGGGTAAGAATGAGTGTTGGGCAAGTTCTATACTCTAGAGCAAAGTGGAGGTTGAGCTAGCCTTGCATAGCATGCTTCTTGCCTTGGCCTACTTTGTTTTTTATGTGCAGTTTTCTAATTGTATATCAGATTTGGCTTAAGCCAAAAAGCCTGCTGTGTAGGCTAGATTGTGCAGAAGTACAGAAGAAGGTAACTGGAAAAATGATGAAAGTGGTCGGTTGGTTTGAAATCTGAGAAAACGTGCAAGTTGAAATGCTATTGTCCAGTTCCACACAATAAAAACAAAAGTTCCGATATCTCATACCTCCATGAAATTTCTTCTTTAATTATGCAAATGACTTCTACATACATGCATAATATATGCATCGTGATGTTGACTTTTGATTAACTTACACATCTCCCAAGTATGAAATTCCCATCATTTACCACTAAGGAGTCATAGAATTTTCAGATTATTTATGCAAATTAGGTCAGTATTTGCATAAATCTGTCTAAGCTACCCACATACCAAAAATCATAAAAATCTTTGTGAATTTATCTGCTTTGAAAGGTTTCAGAGCACACCCCAGTTCTTCGGTGACCGGGGTCCGTGGTAGTCCGTGTTAAAAAAGTGACGAAAGGGTTTTGAAGGTCCAAGTTTAAGGTGACATTTCTCATAAACTGCCACGACATATTAAACATTAACATGGCTGAAAAGTGTAAGAAATGGTAATTTTGGGGTGAAAATTTCTTTTGGCTCCGAACCTTACTTCCGGGTATCCTTGCGCGCCAAGTGTAATCCGCCCGTTTGACCTAGATTCGCTCTGCGCCTTCCTAAGAGTGGATTTGCAACCCCTCGCGCCATGGACAGTTTAAAAAATTTCAGTACTATGAATCAGATCTATCGCTATGCAGTTTGAGACATTGTTTTATTGTCAGTTTTGTCTGCCAGTCTTCATCTGGCTGAGATTGCATTATGTGCAGTTGTGTTTATTTCTGCCAGGTGGCGTTTCAGACCGTCAAAGCGTCCTGCAGGACACATTCTCCGTTGCAGCCACCGCAGTAGTTAGACCTGAGCGGAAGAAAAGAGTTTAAAATGTTATCAAACAATGGCGTATTTATCATATTTATGTCGCATTTAACAATGGCGTATTTATCGTATTTATGTCGTATTTAACAATGGCGTATTTATCGTATTTATATCGTATTTATCTACATGTACCGATACAGAGTAAAATTAACACATTATATTGTCTTATTCATATCTATTCATATTCATATGGAAATCTGTGTATATTCGACTATGATATTATTTAAAATATAGTCCTGGAGATTTAAGTCTTGCAAGAAGTATGCAATTCTTAGTTTCCTGAATTTCGGCTCCCGGCAGGATTATCAGACCTTTGGCCTCCTGTCATTCTGCCTGTCAATCTCTCCCACCCCCACCCACGTGATGTCAACCTACTCAGACACACAAACACACAGCTCAGCCACTGATCAAAAATAGTACTTCCGTGCACATAAGTAAAAAAAAAAATACGACTAAATGTTAGCCGTTACCTGCAGACGTATCCTGGGGCACAAAGCATCGCCCAGCACGGGTCAGCGAAGCAGTTCACCTCCTGAACGCCAGGGGGACAACCGTTGTCTGCGAAGTAAACAAGAGATTTCATATATAATACAGAGTTTATTATAGCCTTCGGTGATCAGATAACATATCATGACATTTCGGCCTAATTAAGGGAAACCTACGTGTACTTTGGCCCTGACAAAAGATTGGGAACAATATGACAACGGTAGTTCTGACCATGCACATGAGTAGATCTAGACATATTCTAGCGCCTTTAGGTCATGTGTAAAAACAGGAGGAGCCAGTAGAAACAGATAAAAACCCTTCTGGTCCCGGGCCGGGGTTCGAACCCACGACCTCCCGGGCACCAGAGCTTCATAACCAGACGCTCTAACCGTTCTGATCTCGACCCATCGGCCGGGTCAGTTGGTAGCGCCTA